GAAACTACTGGAATTTGTAAAATGTTACAGTCATTCACTTTTCAGTACCAGCTGGTCGATCACATCTTTGTCTGAAGCAGCTGACCAAGTCAGGCGGCACCTCAGCAGTACGAGAGGAAGCACTCTGGTGTCCATGTCAGGCTAAAGCTAACCACAAAAGGTCGGCCATTCCTTTATGTTTGCCTCAAAAAGAAAATGGAGGAAAAATAAGAAAAAGGAGAAAATGATAAATTGTAGTTATTAATTTCATTGCTATTATTGCTAATTATCATATTATGTTATTGATAATTACCAGCCCTAGAGAAGATTGCAGTATCTTTATACTTCAGCTCTGGAAAGGAGCCAGCTGTTAACTGGTGACCACTCCTGACCTGACCACTCTGTGAAAGGAGTGAGCGTAAAAGAGGCAGAAATAAGTTTACGAGGGTACCTGACCAAAGAACAGCCAGGCGCTTCCTGAGGCTAATGCTCAGGTGTTGGCCAAGTGGTTGGGAGGCCACCCATGCAAGCCATTAAAATGGCACCAAAACAGTCACAGTCTCCTGAATGCAAATAGCGGATGAGGAGAGGCATGCCAGTCTGCCAGCATTCCTCACTGCGGAGCCACCAGATTCTGCTGAACCGTGTTTGGCCTCCAGAGTGTTTGAAATGCAGGGGTGTGGATGTGTAACCAGGGAGAAGATGGGAGTAGACCTACGGGACCAGAGCCACAGTTAAAGAGGTAGTGGGACAGCAGCACAGAAATAGAGCATGTTTACTGACAGAGAAGACAGAGAAAGAAGGAGAGTGTACCGAGCAGGAGTGAGGGAGAAAAAAAGAAAAGAGGGAGAGCAAAAGAGTCAGCCAGAGGACCCCGGAGGTTGCATCGCTCTGAAAGGACCACCCTGAAGTAGATGTACGTGCCAGGGAAATAGGTCAACTGCTCAGCTCTGGCTATTCACCTGAAATAAATTGTCTTGCTACAAACCAACATAAACATTATACTCTATCCTAACTAGCCATCCATTTTTGTCCATTATTAGTCATATTGTATAAATTTCACTTGTGCTTCTATACTTTAAGTGTTTCCAACCTACAGCTTACAAGTTCTTGAGCTCCAGTACAAGTATGCTTACTTCTCCTGGCTTAAAGGTGTATACACTGAGTATTTGATTATAAGAACATGCTATTGCAATGAGACTCTGAATGTAAATGCACGGGTCTTGATGAAAAGACAAACAGAGGATCATATCTCTTCTCTCGTGAAGGGCTACAGCTGCAAAGCATTACAATCTTGAACAAAATCTCCGGATTCCACTCCACAGTCTACACATCAACACGGCTCAATGTCTCTCTCTATCAAATAAAGCTCATTATGGCTAGAAACAGGCTTAGGAAGAATGCCAACGCAAGCATTCTTCTGAGGTGAGGTGAGGGACTCGCAGACTCTGCTGTCTGTGTTACTGTATGACTAATACAATGAGCCCCACACTCAGGCCTTGGCTGGGGATGTGGCCTTTGTAGTGGAGAAACTGAAGCTCTTTATCATCTCCCTGTTTTCAATTCAGAATGGCAACCGCAAAATGATAGGTCATGGCAGCCATGAGAGGAAGAGGTATTAGGACTTCAAAAACAGTTAGTGTTATATTTTCACACCAATGGCAGGAAATGCAGCTTGAAGGGGAAGTTTGGAGGTTTAGGGAGTAGGTGTTTATCACATGTAATGCTGTTGTTTGTTCTAGACACCTGTTTTGTCTGCAGGATTTCTATAAGGCTTCAGGGCAAATCATAGAAGACTTCGTTCCTTGTGTTTTAGCCATTTTCTGTTTGTTTCTGTCGCTTTTTTGCCTTCCATCTTCAGTAAGTGAAATATGCTTAATGTGATTCAGGTCAGGTCACTTTTTAACCCACATAAAACACCATAAATGTTTAGCGGTATGTTTTTGGGTTGGATGTGAGGAAAATTCTGATTTTTCAATATATCTGTATAATTAAACTGTTAAAATACACACAAAGTCAATCAGTGTGAAATAGTTCACTGTACAGAAACTTAACAAATCTTGTTGTTGACTTGTTATTCACAGTGGTGGTAAAAAGAACCAGACTTCACAATGTCTACAGTGCAAGTATTGCCACATTTACTGTCCAGAACTAGCACTGAATCTACGCATGTGTAATGTATATGCAATGTTGGTAATTGTGAAATAGTGGTAAATCTACAAAAATGTTTTGTTTTGGATACTATTTTGCCTTACAATGCCCTACATTTACCTCTTTACCATGAATGGCTTTTGAAAATCACTGTTGAATCAGGCCAAAACCGATCATAAAACAGACATCATGCAGCGTATAACTTTCTGTGAGGTAGATTTTAGAGATATTAGAGTCAGGCATCTGGTTGCTTTCACCACCACTGTGAAAAATTCTGACCTTGTCTTTTTCTCTAGAATGTAGAATTTCACATCAGATCACTCTGAATGACTTTTTTTATATCTTAACCATTTAATGCAGAAATTTAGACAGAAAATAAGTGGAATTTCCCTTTTAAGATGCTTCTGTAAACTTCATTCATTCTCATGCTGCTAGTCACATCATTGATAAAGACTATAACCTGGCTTTTCTTTTCTTGATGCTTTCCAGTGTTTCGCATATTCCGGTGGACCCTCAGAGATCACACTTGTGTATCTTTCTCTTTATGGTAGTCTTTGACACACCTCCATCCTAGAGAGCATTCTCAGTGGAGCTGCTCAGTGGTTGAATTTTGGCTTACCAAGATTACTCACCATTGAGTAATCTGTTTCTAAAAAAATGTACCAAACCTGTTGTTTTGGTCACATCAGCCTGACTGAAAACATAATCTATTCACATTCCTTTTGTAACATATGATAATGAAAGCTAACAACTGTGGAAAATAATTGCAATTAGATATAATAAGTGTGGCAGGCCTAATGGGCATTGGTACTTTTTGGTCCTTATGGTGAGAGACAATCGCAGCTGCAGGTGAAAATACTACATCTAAAATCAACTGTAAACCTCTTGTTGTCTTTCTTGTGCCAGAACTTACGAGGCCATGACACACACAGACATAACTGAACAGCTAGAATCCCTACATGGATCACTCATGGTACATATACTTGAATTAGGCTGTCTGTGCTGTCACTTCACAGTCATTTCAAATCTAATATGCTGGCATACAACAACCAACAATCAAAACAAACCAAAATCGTAACTATTGAAAGGCTTATGAACTGCACCATGTGTGTGTGTTTATTTATGATTTGTCCATATGTGTTTCATGCAGTTGCACCGTTTTCGAATGCTGCTGCTACACCTGTACCAAAATGTCATAGCCTAATTATGCATAACTCATTGTCCTATATAGCTAGTTGCCTTTTACTTTTGATGTAGCATTTTATTTGATAAAATGGCAACAGATTTTTTATTTACAAATTTATAATGCTGTTATAGCACGTTAAAGAGCAAGTAATGTTATGTTACGGCTGAATGTACTGTGCCGATGTGTTTCTTGTCTTCATTTATTCCAAACATTGTGAGCTTTGGGTTAAAAGATTAATAAAAAATTCAACTTGAGCATAAAGAAATTGGAAAAATTCATGATCGGTGCATCCCTAGTATAAAGGCCAAAGGAAGTGTCAGTGCTATGACTGCTGTAACTGCTGTAACATATAGAGTCTCAAAGTCAAACCCTCAGTCGGACTCGTGATGCTACAGTTGGTACAACTGTGATTTTAAGGCAGTGAACATGCACATATCTTAAGTGGTCGGGGTTTGTAACAGAGCATAAATTGGGGATGACATGAAGATGAAAATACCTGAAGAGAATACTGAATAGAGTAAACAAATCCAAAATAGTGTCCAAAGATGTCACAAAGCATGAGTGGAAACCATGAACACTGCGAACTAGAAACAGCATTCAAAGCTGCACACACAAAAGTAACGGCACTCCTGAAAGACAGACGGTACTGTGTTTATTTTTTTGTGATGATTACCATAATTGGTGCTCAGTGTTCTAAGGAGTTCAGCATATTGTTCACACACACATAGACACACACATAAACTTACTTAAAGTGGTATGTGTCCACACAATTACAGCCATGTGATTCAGATCATGTGTTTCTTTGTTCTCTTTCATCTTTTCCAATCGGACTGTCTCCTGTGCGCAGTTAGCCATCTCAAATGAGCTGTGTCTGGAAAAAGACACAACACTCCAAGAACACACTCTTTGCACATACAGAGCTAAGCTGAACCTCAGCACGCCATGTCAGATTTTATAAAGCCAAAACCATGAAACTCTGATTTCTCATGTTTTATCAGCAATTTCCCTTTAGTGCAATTTGAGGTGAACTTGTAAAAATCCTGTTTTTAACTTCCTTCAGGGACTACACTTTTTTCTTCACTATGAAACGAGTTTCTGCCAGAGATTCTGGTTTCTTAACAACCAAATTGACTGCTGGTTGATTTTTTTGGCCGATTTCTGTTGGCCAAACTAGCATTTTCAATTAATAAATGAAACATCAGTTGCCTACTTATATGAACATGAATCATGAACTTTCTTTTAGTCAAAGGTGCAATAAATAATATTATTTGCTCTTTGCTGGGCCAATCTGGGATTTTAAATTTGTAAAGAAAACAGTTTCCTATTAGAATAAGAGTCGAATAAAGTGCTATATCAAACATAAGAGGCCACTGGCTATTTAGCACAATAATGTCTCTATATTTTGGTGCAGCAGCAGGTGTAACTGAAACACAGTAAAAATAATTTTTAGATTGTCAGTAATGTGTTTGAAAAAAAAATCTAACAGTTCCACTCCTGGCTATTCCAATTGTTCATCCCCGGTTTCTGCCCTAATAAATGGAGCCTTACGGGCTTGACACAGTGCCTTACAATTACACTTGTCTTGCAACATTCCTAATTTACAAGACACTTGACTGAGTTTTCTCTTTTCCTCTTTCTCTCTTGCTTCTCTTTCTCTATCTCTCCCTTTCGCTCTTTCTTTCAGAACCCCTCCTCTCTGGACTGGTCCATTCAGAGCGCATTGTCGTCTCTTTTTCCTCCATTTGAGGCCACTGCCCCAACTGTCCTGAGCCAGCTCTTTCGCACCATCGAGGAGCGTTACCATGGAGATGCACTACAGTGCTTGCTGGACTACCTCATTCCGGCCAAACATATCCTAGAGAGCGTGCAGCAAGCTGCCTGTGTGAGTGCTCAATGTTACTAACTCATTGGTATCAACAACAACTAAGCAACATGTAGTCGTATGTAGACCTACCTGACCTAATTTAATTCACAAAGTAAAGGCAAAACGTAGACTGTTCAGTTCTACACATGCTTGAAAATTTCTTGTGAGTGATAAATATGTAATTTTTCAGTATTATAACATTAAAAACAGGGGTCAGTACAAGGTTATGAGACGGTATTAAAGACATTTCTTTGCTGTCCTTTAGTCCTTGTGGATTTTGTGGCACAGATCCAAGAAAGCTAGTTTCCTTGTCCAGTCAGCACAAGATCGTTTTGTTTCATCTTCAAAAGAAGTAAAAGTCCTCCAAGACATTTTCTCTGAAGGAGATTCAAGAATTTTCATGCAAGCCAATGAGCTCTCCTTTTTCAACTCTACTCTTTCAACTGTGCAACAATGATATAAGTCTGACCAACCTTGTAGACATATACAAACTTTTAGAATCTGTAGAAAAATAAAATGAAACAAAATGATATGATGCAACGCTATGGGCTTAGTTTTAGTTTTGCAGACTTAGATTAACCCTAAGTGTAGACTAAAAGTGTGGTAATTCTTCACTGACAGTGAAATTCACTCCATTTACAGTTCCATTTTTAAATAAAGGTTCATGAAAGCTCAAATTTTTCAACCATGTTCTTTCTCCTTTTCTTCCCCTGCCTAGGCTGAGTACTCTGATGTGTTGTTCCGCTGTGAAGGTTGGCCACTCTGTTTGCGAGACCGTGTGGTGATCCAGCTAGCCCCCATTAATCCTTTACTCTTACGTCCTGGGGACTTCTACTTACAGGTGGAGCCCTTTGGGGAACAGTCAGCCCGCATAGTCCTTAAGAGCCTCCTTGTGCAGGAGGACCTCTTGGCACAGGAGAATCTGGTGTTACAAGCAGGTCTCAGGGTGCAAGAGGGCCCAACAGTGGAGGAGACTCCCATACCAGAGACATCCTACCCCTGTATATTTACTGAGGCTTGGTTACAGGAGGTGAATGAGGGCCGTCATGGTAACCAGCTACATCAGTGTGTGCTTTCCTCCGATCAGGGGATTGTGAAGGTGCCCTGGACGGAAGTGGTCAACCCAGAATTTCTGGACAAGCCAAAGGCTAAGATCAGGTCTGAAGAAATGACATCATGCTCAACTGCAGCACTAATAATGCAAGATAATCAGTCTCCTGAGCAAGAGCCTCAGTCCCAGTTTCCTGTAAACATGGCACCTCTGGAAATAGAAACCATGATTCTTCCGGCAAAAGATGGGGTTGCAGTTTCAGTTCGGTTGGTTGAGAGCAGCAGCAGACTTATTAAGGTGGATCAAGGAAAAGCTATGAGCAGTTCTGTGGGAAAGCCTGTTGGCTGGGTGTCCCCTAATTCCTGGGACAGCAGGCATAATCGAGAGCTGGAAGGAGAGTATGTCGATCTCTTGGATTTTGCCAAGGAGAAGGAGACTTTGGCCTTCAACAAAGCTGCAATACCTACAGTTCCAGTGTCCTTCAGGCCTGCTCCCCCTCCTCCAAAAAGGGATGGTGTCCCTTGTGTCCAGGCTTCAGGAATGATGAATGAGCTTTGCGTTCCATGTTCAAAAAACAAGCAGTTGTCCCAAGACTTACAGAAGGGTTCAGAATCCAAGTGTAGGCATCGTCAGTCTTACCTAGCAGCTTTAAGAAACCCTGTGAGTTTTGAGAAAGCAAGTGTGATGGCACCCCTAAAAGAAACCTGGCCAGGTTTAGGGGAAGCAGAAATAGTTTTTGAGAAACAAGGCTTTGGAATTGAGTCTCAGAGCTGTTCAACAGGCCAGGGTTCAACCCAGCCTGTCCAAAACTCAATACAATCCTACAAGACTTCAGGCCAACAAAATGAAAACTTAGTTCAGCCTAATATGAACACAAAACATCATCAGAACTCACAGCCAAGCCCTCTCACATGTCAACAGCCAAAGCCCTTACTTACTAAAGATCTTCATAAGACTGTTTTGGAACGTAAGATAGTTTCTGACAACAAACATCCCTGCCTGAGTGAAGCCAGAAGGCAAGAACCCTCCCAAATGCGGATGAGCAGCCAGAAACATGCCAAAACTCAACACTTACCCAAAATGGGACTAAGGGCTTTGCCTGATCATAGCAGCCACAGACAAGAGGCTAATGCCTACAACTGTCCAGGTGTAGGAAGGAAGCAAATTATGGTTCCATATGGACCAGCATCCCAGCCTAAAGACCTGACACAACCCACAGAGCAGAGACCTTCTCTTTTTCATCTTCCGCAGCACAGTGAGAACATGCTTCAACATCAATACAGTCCTATGGACCAAAAGCCTTTCTGTGACAACAAAGCATGTGCTGGAGGCCCAGGCTCACCTGTACAAGTGTTGAAGGTTTCAGGGAAAAGCAGATCCAAAGGCCGCTCTGTATCCTCAGTGTCAGAGACAGCCAGAGAGTGTCTGCCGGTGGACAAGATGACCAACAGGAGTCGCAGTGATGTCTGTCCAGAGATCATTCCCATGGTTCCTGCAATCCACTCTATGCAGAACAAGAAATACACTCCCTTTTTACTAGCATCCCCGAAACTAGACAGACGGAAAGGGGCTAAAAATGGTATGAAGCTTCCTGATTTTTTTTTTATTAAATGAACCTATTATTTTTTATGTAAGCTTACAGTGGTGTAATATTATTTTCATGGTATATTTCATTTGAAAAAAAACTCACTTTTCTTTTCGAACGAGATGTTATTTGTTCTCAGACAGCCCTCTGCCTAATGTGTTATTATTTTAGACCGCCACATTACTCATAAGCTTGTGCAAGCATGATTAATGTGAGTGATTGTTTGAAGAGAAAACACGCCAGCCTTATAGACGACCCTGGAACTGTGTGGGGAGGCACGTCTGGACAGCATCCGGCGAGAGGGTCCTCACAATGTCATTTTACATACTCGTACCAAAACCAGTCCTTTACAAATGGGCTGATTTACAGACGACCTTGGTCTCATCTCCTCCACAGAGAGAAGAATGTGCTGGGATGACAAGGTTGAAAAGGTCATCCAAAAAGAGCACATAATGACACAGGGGTCAAGAGTCGAAGGTCAGGAGCGTGTACAGCGTTCCAGCAGAGAATTCCTTCAGTCCTCTCCCCACTTTAACAGAATGAGGGCATTTATGCTGAAGCAAACGGCAGTGTGGATGGACAGAAATAACTGAGCCCCCATTTTTAGGAGAGGGCTGTTTGATGTCTGAACTGGAACTGGAAGACAACAAGCACTCAGTTGTGTGCGGTGTCTTTTAGTCAGAGACAGACCTACCCAGCCCAATGGCGCCACCTTGTGTAGCTGAAGTGAAGTAATCAGTCTAGTAATAGTATTAACTTACAATGCTTATGCTACATAGAGAATGTATAGAGTTTCAGAGAAATGTATGGGGCGCATTGGGTTAAACCTGCACTCCAAGAAACAGTGCCTTATTGATATGAATTCTAGGCAGGAGAAGGATGTTTTTTTAATATTTCAGTATTTCAGTATTTTAGTAATTGTAAAAAATGTGTTGAGATCCATTTATGATGTTTGTGTGGTTTTATATACCAGAAACACCCATATTTTATTTTACATTATCATTTTCTAACTTATCCCTTTTCCGTTAGAATTAAACAGGCTATTTTGTAACTGACTGGTATGTGTAAATGAGCTCTGTTCTGATTGGCTACCCTGTATAGTGCCTCATTCAAAAAGTAGGTTACCCAAAACAGTCCTTTAGGTTTTTCTGAACTATGAAGTGCAAGAGAACTAGTTATGACTTTTTGTCTTTTCTCTTTTAAGATACATCCACATCTAGCACAGCTGAGCCTCAGTTTCCTCCACCTTTGAATGGGGTGGTGCTCCAAAGCCCCATCATGGCGCTCCTCTCAGCAACCCGAGCACAAATCTCCTCTGGACAAGGAAATCAGCTTATTCTTCTTTCCCAAGACCCCTCCATCAAGGGCCTTTTACAGCTGGGCATCATCTGTTTGCCAGGTGAACTGAACAGGACATCTACCTGTAGTTAAAATGTGTAATATTCTGCCTCAATACATTCCTGTTATTATTCTCACTTCTTCTGACAACAAAAGGGAGTGTCACCATACTGTACTAGTACTGGGTACATAATTTGTACATCATGTATATTGGATAATTTGGATGCAGTTTGTATATTTGCATATAATTTGTATGTAATGTGGTTTTTAGTTACTTTGTGGTTTTTAGTTACTATCACCGTTTCTCCTTCCCCCAGCAGGTGGGGCTGTGCCCCACAAGCTCAGAATGCTTTCTTTCTTCTGTGCGTGTTCATAGGTTCACAAGTAATGAGTTACAATACTGCACAAAAGTGCAAGAGACCAACTTTCATTTCTTTCATTTCCAGTTAAAATGGTCATTAAATACAAGTTATTCATTTTTCAGCATCAGAAACAAATGCATAGCAAATTGTACAGAAGCCCCAACAACTAAATATGTTCAGTATTTAGTGTGTCCACTGCTTGGCTAATTACAGCTTCCATTCTTTTAGAGACATGTGCTTGCAATTTTTAAAGAGATCTACTGGGATATATTTCCACAATTATTTTTTATTTCTTTATTTTTTTCTCAGTAACAGCTTTTTCATAGCTACACATCTTTTTAGACTCATAGCACTGAGTTGTCTTCTCACAGTGGAAGGATGGACTGAAACATCTGTGTATTTTTTCAGATATGAAGTAAGAGTGGAGCTTGATTTTCTCGTATCCTGAAAGCTTTAAGTACTGTTTATCTGGTTTGGTGGTCTACCAGGTCTTGCACAGTTGTACAGTGTCCCGTTTTCTCTGTGATGTTTAATCTTTTTTCACTTATTTCTTTAGATGTTTTCCTTCCCCTGATGTAGGTGGATTTTCTCTTCAGAAATATCTCCTGAAAAATGAAGTCTGGCTGTTTTGACTGGAAATTAAATAAATAGTGGTTAAGAGTGGTCTTTGAGACCAAAGAGGGGTCTCAGATTTTGTGCAGTTCTGTATCTTTTTGTTTATATCTAGAGCCACAAACATTAACATATTTCGCTGTTGTTGTAAGAAAACCTCATATCTCCAAATTGGTAACTTTACAGGAGAAGGGAAAAACAAACTTTACTTTTAATGTAAGTCAGTGGAATTTTTTCCAAGTCATTTTGAACAATTTCTTTTGGTTCATTCATCATGAAATTTACATACATTGTAAAGGGCAACAGACTTTTTCAAATTATGTCAAAAACTGAAAAATGACCAAAATGGAGATATGAGGTTTTTTTTTTTTCCGACAACAGCTATATATATATAGATATATATATATATATATATATATATATACTTTACACTACATGCACATCCAGCATTACTTTTTCTGCTGTGTAAATCTAGGCAGCCGTGACAGAGCAGGACGAGCGGTGCTTGAAGTCTATGGGGGGAAGAAAGGCTGGGGGTCCCCTCTGCTCTCTCTTTTGGAGCTCTGCAGACTGCTCCTCTACCTGCAGTCCATACCCAGGTACCACACCCACCCTTTATTCACAACTGGCTCATTCAAAATTCAGCTTCACAAACATTCAGATGACACTGTTCACTTTAAAAAAAAAAAATTAATAAATAAATAAATAAATATATATATATATATATATATACATGCACACCGATCAGGATCAGGCATTGTCCATTTTAACAGTTCCACTTACTATATAGTTTGTAGTTCTACAATTACAGACTGTAGTCCATCTGTTTCTCTGCATACTTTATTAGCCCTCTTTTACCCTGTTCTTCAATGGTCAGGACCCCCATAGACCCTCACAGAGCAGGTACTATTTGGGTGGTGGATCATTCTCAGCACTGCAGTAACACTGATGTGGTGGTGGTGTGTTAGTGTGTGTTGCGGCAGTCTGAGTGGATCAGACACAGCAGCGCTGCTGGAGTTTTTAAACACCTAAGTGTCACTGCTGGACTGAGAATAGTCCACCAACCAAAAATATCCAGCCAACAGCGTCCTGTGTATAGTGTCCTGTGTATCCTGTCCTGTATATAGTAAGTGGAGCTCATAAAATGGACAATGAGCATAGAAACAAGGAGGTCGTCATGTTATGCCTGATCGGTATATATACATGTGAATATTTTTAGGTTGCGACAAGTTGCTAAGTAACATAACAGCAAATGACTGTAGGCTTCAGAGTGGTTATTTATTTAAGTATTTTCAATGCAGAGCAAAATGAGCTATGATATACGTGTTTGTTCCACCTAACAACATCAGCATATTCTGAGTGCAGTAAAAGGCAGCGCAAAATTTATTGAAGAATTCACAGGAAATGCCTTATCATTAATTCCTTATTCTAAGTCAGCATGAAGGGTTTTGATCCCAACAGTGGTTGTGTAAACAAGCCGGTTTCAGTGCAACCTTTAGAGCCCTGTCTGAAATGTATTAGTCCAGCATAGTGTATTTTGAGCACCTTAGTACTTTCAGTGCTTTATATAGTACTTTTAAAAGCCCTTAGCCACTTCTGTACTTTAAAGGTTCTTTGGAGTGATGCCACTGAAGCACTTCTTTTGGTTCTTGAGACCATTCACTGACAGATATGATTCAGAAGAACCTTTTATATTTATATTGTCTAGAGTTTAAACAAACTCTAAACAATATAAAAAGTATTTTTCTTGAATTGTACATACATTTTAATAATCATTTAAAAACCTTTATTTGTAAAAGTTTAAAACAGTTGCAAGCTTTCATTTTCAAGACCTTATGAGTCCTCGCCATTCTCTTATCTCCTGCTCAGAGAGACAACAGGCAGATAAACTGATTGCACCTCATACTTATAACAGAACACAAAGAAACAAATTATTGTAACAAAATCTTTTTATTCCTATTTTATTTTATATGAATAAAATATACTCATCCATATATATATAATATATATATTATATATATATATATGTTATGGACTGTTGTCTATCTATTTGTCATGATGTTTGTACAATATAAAGCTGATGTTTTCTAAAACAAAACAAAAAAGTGTTGTGAAATTTTGATATTACAGCAATATGATAATGAAACGGCTAAGATAATAACAGGTGTTAACACTATATGTACTCCATTATAGGAGAGAGGTGCGAGACCTTGGATTAACAGTTGTGATTGACAGCAGGAAGGGGTCACATCCCTCAGTGCTTTACAAAGCTCTGTTTTTGCTGCAGGTGAGTCTAGTATCTCCATAGCTTCAATCAACATGTCATGATTAAATAATCCCCATTCCCCAGATAACAGAGACCAGCAGGGACCAGTAAAACCTTAAATAACAAATACCCTAAACTCTCTGTATCTCTAAATCTCTGTAAACTTACTTTTCTCCATTTTCAATGTCATGTTTAAAGCTAGATGGCCTATCCTCATAGGTGTCATCCCATACAGTTCACCTGTGTAAAGTGTGTTTTTTCCACAAATTTGGAAATATACGACCATATAAGGCCAGGATATGGGAAATGTGGTCTAATGCAGTTTTCCTCGTAAACTTTGGACAATTAACATCAGTAATTCTGATGCAATCAGATTTGTTTCTCACTCTGTGTTTTATTAGATGTCCTAGCCCAAGTGCTCAGGCTGGAGGGGGAGTCTGCTGATTTTGTGAAATTTTGTTGTTGCATGCACACTGTACACAAACAAAACTAAACACATGATAAACAAGTCAAAACATCAAAGTGTCATTCCTTAGAACTAAACAGTTATGCTGTGATAAGCATATCGTTAATACAGATGCGAAAGTTTAGTTTTGGTGTTCCTTAAATATGGACTTGAGCACATAGCACAACGGTCTAAACACAAAGATACCAGGGTTCAGCATGAACTTTCTCCACAGCTTCACAAACTGAATGGGCAAGTGATTGTCACAGCTGCTGTTCCCAATTAGAGTTTTCAGGCAATTGTTAATGTTGAACCTTGGATGCACTAGCAAAGATATTTATCTTCTAGCTCACCTAGCAGATTGATGCTACGTCATCAGAGATTTTTCAGTCTGTCAGCTCTCTTTCTCTCTCTTTCTCTCTCTCTCTGTTTGCCTACCTCTTGAGTACCTTGTGTTTCTATGTGCATTCAACTATGTGACAGACTGTTTAGCTCTTTAACACTCAAATAAGGTAAAAGTACATTTTTACTGTTTGAAACTGATTAGTATGATTACTGGAGGAATATATCACAGAAAAAAATCAAAACTGCATAAACCTCTTATTGTATTATCTCGCACTTGTGTTCCTGTGTTGCACCATGGTCCTGGAGGGAATGTTGTTTCGTTTCACTGTGTCCTTGTATATAGCTGAAAGGGCAGTAAAGCCTGACTTGACTTGACTTGTTGTTGCTAAGGTTTTAAGATTAGAAATGTGATACATGGGTGAATGTACATAGTTTTGAAACTGTGAATATAAGGGTTACCATCTCTAGAGGTTGACATCTGTGCACACTGACCTGACCTATCTTGTAGGAGCAGGCCCTCCATGCTGTGCACACTGTTTTGTTGCTGGTGGATAAAGACCAGAGTCCTCGACCAGAGAGGCAACCAGGATTACAGGTAACAGTGATTTAGTACCACCAGTTACAGATTTTCTACCTCAAAATTGCTGTTATCTACATGCTGAATTTCATCTTCTGGTGCTTTTTAACTCACACACACTGCCCTGATTCTTTTTCAGATGGATATTGTTACATCACTGAAAGCTCTTCATAAAACCATTGATGGACAGCAACTGAGTTCTGAATTTGAAGGAACTTTCCCTTATAATCACACGGACTGGCTTCAGTTCCACCAGGTAAGAACATACAGTGAATAAAGGGCCCGGTCTTTTGTTCCATGGGCTGTTATTGGATATCGGAGTGTTTTTTTTTCATGTTAAAGTGAAGGAGAGCACTGGTCCAGGCAAAGCACAGTGATGTACTACACGTCATCAGCTAGATTCTACATGTCTAAAATATGCTGAGAGTGGCTGTGCAACACCCATAGGCCTTTCACTTGAAATTCCTATAAATCATTTTGTCCACTTGCTTTTCGGTAAAGTAAGACAGCATGGATGTCTGTGCAAGTAGAATTTCCAAGTAAATGTTCAGGCAAAGTTATCAAAGCCACATTCCACCACCATAAACTAAGACAAGCATAGTATCCAGAACAGCCACAGAATCGTGGGTATTTAAATAATTAAATACTGTGCAAAAGACAGAGACAACTTTTAACTAATTTAATTTTTTTTTCATTTTTCAACATAAGAAAAAAAAGCAGAAAACATATTTTTAACAGAAAATGACACAGAAGCCTCAACAAATAAATATAACATCTAATTATTCCACCCCTTTTTCTTTGTTATAACTTATATACTTTTCAACAGACAAATCTGCAGGAATATTTTCCACACTTTTAAAGTTCAGTCTTAGAAGTTGCTTGGTTGTTTTTTCTTCTCATGATTAAAGTAATTCCAATACCCATAACATTTTAGCAACTGTGGAATTTTTCAGGGCCAAAAAGTTGAATGTTCTTAAGGCAACTACATGAGTGGTCAGAGAGGTGCTCTTCAGTACAGCATAGCCGTAGATTAGACTACAAGGTTTTGGAAAGGCATTTCAGCACAGTTCCACATGGCTGATGGTTACTGTTGGGTGTCTGAGTGAGTGTGTGCAAGTATGCATAGGAGAGCATAGGTGTGAGGCAGTAAGTGTTCTTGGCTCTGTGGGTGTAGCAGGCTATATGAATGAAGGATAGAATGAGTAGATACAGAAATGGGGAGTATGTAAGTATGTGTTGTTGCTTTGATGGATGCTCACACACACTAGCACTGAGAGTGTACCATTCCTCTGCTAGTTGTCTTCGTGATATAAAAACTTGCTTTAATTTTAAATCAAATTATTATGGAGTACAGAGCCAAAAATTAAATTTTGACCATTGTCCACTGTAGCTGATTTAGTTGCAACCAGGTATCTGTGGTAATGAGCCAGTGATCAGAATCTGAATTACTGGGAGAGTAAGTTTATTTTAGTTTAAAACTATGCACAGTCCAGTTTTCTAGGAGATGACCATTTATCTTTACTCCAATATACTGTACTATGTGAAAGTCAGAGAACATCCTGTGTTTATTTAATTTACATTCACAGCAGCCATTAAGTACAAGTTACTCATTTAAGGATATATTTCTGAGGAGATAATAATATAATTCACCTACACAAGGATGAGTGAAAAATAATAAAAGATATAGAGAACATGGACTTACAACCATGCAAGACCTGGTAGACCACCAAAACTGTCATCATCTGATAAACATTACGTTCATCCTTGAAATGAAAAGGAGAAAATCAAGCTCCATTATTGATTCAGATCTGAAAAATTCAAGTATTTCTGTCCTTCCTTCCACTGTGAGAAGACAACTCAAAGTCAGGCCCGTATGCCCAGTGTTTGACACATGGAGTCTAATCTTTAACAATGGCTTCTTGACAGCTACATACCTTTTTACCTAGCCCATACCTAGCCCATTTCATCGTGTGCTGCAGTACAATCCCCAACATGCACTGCAACGTGAAGTGCACTCCAACCCCCCTCCCCCCAACAGCAATCTATGGGACAGCAGTTACACTTCAATCCTACCACACCAGTCACATCACCAGACACACTAGCTGTGGTTCAGCAGCAGCCCAACCAGCTAAAAATAGTTTGCTGAAAGTCAGAAGTGAACAGTGAATGCTGGGGATTTCAAGACAGTGGGAGCTCAGATACCTTTTTACTTCCATTATCTGTCTCGTTTGCAGAGATGATGTGGCCGTAATGAAGGAAAACCACATTAAGTACCATTATGAAACAAAACACCGCAGAGTCGGATAGATAGCAACGGCATCAGAAAAGTGGCAGAGATGAAGAAGGACGTCCTCTGGCCCATGGATTTGTTGAGATTTTTTGACGTTTTTAGCGAATTTGATACCCCTGAATCCAGACCTCAACATCACTGAAGGTAGATGGTAGAGAGGCAAAAAATGTGATCAACTTCTAAGGCATGAAGAAAGATCCCTGCAAGTCTCCTAAAAAGAATATAAACTGTAATAAGGGCAAAGGGTGGACACACTAAATATGGAAAAATGTGATATCATATTTAGTTGTTGAGGATTATATGTAGTTTTCTGTCAAATATGCAGTTATTGTACCAAAGTCTTAGGCATCTTAGTAAACTGTTCAAAACCATTTATTTCTGTCAGTGAAAACTCCATAACAGAGACATTCAAACATTACTGCAGTGAAAAGTAAAAATAGTAGATTGAATAACAAAGTTTGATTCCAGATGTCTTGCATGGATTTAATTTCATCACCAGCACATCCTAAAGTAATAAAGGATTGATGAAAGATTGAGAGTCAAACCAGGTAATGGATGATATTTGGGCTGCCACAAGGAGAGATTTGCAAATGGTTAAATAAGCACACTGACGTCCATAAAATCACTGCTTGTATTAATATTATTTGTATTTATTTTACCTTTTTAGTGCTTTTTGGGATAAATAAATGCTTATTGATTAGATGAATATCTTTTCAAATCTATTTTTTCTCATGCGCTACAATACTTGTGCACAGTATTGTATTTTCTCTGCTATTTTTTCTTCACACTGAAAGATAAATAATTTGTACTTAATGGCAGTTTTTAGCCCTATTTTCTCCCCAACTTAGTCTTTTGCAAATTCCTTCTGCTAGCTAGGTCTTCTCGCACAATTCTACCAAGCTGGGAGGGTGAAGGCTAACACCTTCTATCTCTGTGTCATGTGAAGCGCAAGTGCATCTTTTCGGACTGCTGATAATGCAACGTCATTGGATAGCTCAACATGTTTGGAGGAGAACACTAATTGCCAATTCTGCTACATTAACAGACATCCACATTGGCTAGCATCATGCTCAATCATGAGAGAGAGGGAGGGCTCTCTTGGACTCCTGGCCATGGATGGCTTCGTGATCCAATGCTTATTCATAGCCGTTCTGATTGGAAGTTAAATAAAGGGCTCTGACTTTTGCACCTCACTGTTTAAAGAAGAATTGTAACTGTTTCTGTGACTGCTACTTCCATTTCCTGTTCTTTGGTGTATTGGCATGTGTAATAAAGTATATGATGTTTGTTATCACTTTGAGGCTCCATCTTTAGTTCAGCAACCTTATTTACTTATTTTTTACTTTCTTCACCATAGAAACTGTCCATCTTCGAACTGGACCTACAAGGGGCGGCTTTGTTATTACAGAAAGCTATAAAGAAACTGGACAGCAGCAAGAAAACTGACACTGCAGAGGTAAAAACAGATACTGAGTCATTCTCTTAAATTGCTAAATGCTATCTATAATTTGACTAACAAACCCAATGCTACAGGATGTAAAGAGCTGCATACAAGAACAGAAGAGCTCCATGAAAGAGGTTCTGGAAGATGCAAGAATGGTCATGCTTCAAAGGGAGGGTGGCGCTATACTAGCCAGAATGAAGAAGGAAGAGTTTAAATTTGCCCAGTCTGAAGACTACAAGTAAGCAGTTGTTATTATATTCATCGCTTTGACAAAGGGGCAGATGTGTAATATCGTGACAGTATCTTATATTTCACAACTGCTTCTCCAGTGTCATCGCTAGTTTATCAAAACCTCATAGCTGTACTTTCCATACATACATACATCATCTAAACCGCTTATCCTTCTGGGTCGCGGTGAGCTGCACTTTCCTCTTTTTCGTTTTTTACACCCCTGGAAAACATCGGCTTCCATTTGCATTGTGTGAATGTTTCATGACGAATGGATCAATAGAAAGAATCTAAAATTACTAACAATAAAATCTTGCTATGTTAATATACATTCAACTTAAAAACTTTTTTCCTTCTTCTATAAAGTTAACATTTATATACATTTCATCTCTCTCTCTCAGGGACTCCATGGAGTCTGTGACTTCTCTGTATAACCAGGTGGAGGAGGGAGTTCACACTTTGGTGATGAGGTCCAACCAGTCACTGCAGCACCTCGACCATGTGCTCCTGCTGAGAGAAACAGAGGACCAACTCAACACTGTAGGACCTCAGTGCTCAGTAGAATAAAACAAATAACTCAATGCTCAATTACGTTGTAACTACCATTTGCATGGTTGTTCTTTAAGCAACACATAAGTAGAATGAGCAAATCGTCTTTGTCCAAAGAAAAACATGTATCTCCAGTTTTGTTGATTTTTATTTTTCTACATCATTTGAACTTGTGAGCTGTCCTTTACATTATGTAAAATTTGATGAAGAATGGACCAATAGAAATGCTCCAAAATGAACTGGAATAAAATGCTTTTACCACTTAAGTTTTTTTTTAAACTTACTGTTTTGGAGAAACGTTTTTCTTTTAACAGCAACGGAATGTTGAATGTATATTCTGAGTCAAATTCCATGTACTTAATAGAGCAGAGAGTGGTGCGAGGAGGAGCGACAGAGATGGCAGAGAGACACTGACCTAACAGAAGAAACTCGAGAGAGACTGGAGCAAAGACTAACAGACCTTCATTCTGTCCTCACTGAGGCAAAGGTAGAGTAAAAGAGTATGAATCTTCTTGTCTGTGAGTGCAAAGGCACATATATATGAAGTCAGCTTTAAAGGATACCATAATACTTTACCATTAGTTATTATGAACTTTACTTTTCATAATTAAATGAATTGGATACTTGTATACAGTCCTATGCAAACATTAGAGACCAGCCTTTTATTTTCATTAAATCTCCAGTCGAAGTGGCCACAAAATCAAAAAGCAGAAATTACAGAGAAGCCTGAATAACTAAATATGATATCAGAATTCTCTGTATTTAGTGTGTCCATGCTTTGCCTTTCTTACAGCTTCCTTTTCAAGAGACTTACTTGCAGGTTTTTATAGAAATCTGCAGGGATATCTTTCCACACCTCCAGAGAACTATCTTAGACATTTTTTGCTTTTGGCAAACCAAGTAATCATAAACACATTCAGTGATGTTGAGGTCTATGCTATAATCCCCAGTCGTAATATTCCTTCTCTGTGCCTTGTGCTAGGATTTTGTGTGTGTTTTTTCTCTGTTTTGTGCAGGTCCATGATTGGCCACATGGGCTTTGTGAACTTTGATAACTGTGATTTCTGGGAAAAGTAGGGAGCGAGCGCTATTTGTTTTCTATAACATTTTCTCCTGAATTTATTTTGTTTTCAGGTTTAGTTAAAATCTTTAGTTTTGTGTGTTATTTTGGCATGCGCTTGTCCCTGAACTCAAGCAGTTTTCTGGTTAAATGGTCTTGGATGTTTTGTCTGGCAGCTGGTCTGAGGAGAGAACCCACATTTTCTGGTAGGGCCTGACCCTAGACCAGAACAGAATACAAATAACAAAATACAAATAACAGAATACAAATAGAAATTACAAAGTTCACAAGCTTCACAGAACTAACTAAGCTTTCAGACATTCAAACAAAAGGAAGAGTGGAGTGGAACGAAAGTCCAGGTCATGTCAGAGAGGAGAGAGCCATGAACAACTTGTATACTTGAGGGCACCCCATGTGGCCTATTATGGACCTGCACTTAACGAACTCAAAACAGAGAAAAAACACACAAGGGGACTTAACAATCACTAACTCTAGGGCAAAATTTTCTTATTTTTTGTCTGTTTCCTTTTCTCAATAACAGCTTCTTGATGTCTGCACATCAGTCCTTTTAGGCCTGTTGTCAGTGAAAACTTTGGGAACACCTTTTATTGGATGAACACAGCTATAACTTGTGGCAGTGGCACAAGTGCATAAGTGGCAGTAGGGTGGACAAAAGTCAATTTATTATTTTTAGATTTGGATTTATAATCAGTGTTGTATTCTTTTGCATCATTTTCTGTTAAAATGTTTTTTTTCTTTTTTTTCTGACACTGATAAATGAGTACATTGTACTTAAAAGCCGCTTTGACTGGAATGTTTTGTGAGTATGCTAACTTGGCTAATGCTAAACTGTAGTCCAACGGTAACTATGCATAAAAAAGGCAAGACAATTTAACGCTGTGTTCATACTAGATTAAATGAAATTCTAAGTACTTTGACATTTTAGGCTGTTTCTGAGAACTTCCAAAGCAGGCATATTTGAAGGAATTTCTGTTATCCACAGGTGAGAAAAGAGAAAGGAATGACCATGATGAAAGAAGTGGAGAGGAAGATCCAAGGAGCATGCTATCCTGAGACTGACAGTTTTCACAGTAACGTGACAAAGTTCAAAACCAACATGGCTGCTTTTCTGCTACAAGCCGAGCAGCATAAATCGGACCTGGAGTCGTTCATTCGTCTGCATGGTTTCTGTGAGCAGGTTAGCACACAAGCTTTTGTGGTATGATTACATTTCTACACAAAGAAGTTGAACTTAATGACATGGTACTGAAGATCAAGTGACATAAGTTTATGAAACAAATTAAATAACATTTGTCTTTGTTTGTCAGGTTTTATCTCAAACCAAAGAATGCAGTCACTATCTGGAACAGATGGAGGTGGGTTGCTACCCAGTGAAGGTCAATATAAGCAAGCTGCAGACTTTCCAAGAGAGATTTAAAGCCTTTTCACCCCAGCGCTTTGAAGAGGAGAAGAGTAATGTTGTGGCTATGAAACATTCAGGAGAGCTGCGCATGTGGAAGGAGGCTTGGGCAGAGTGCCAAGATGTCAAGCAGAAACTGGAGGAGAAGCTGCTGGAGTGTGATGAGATCCAGAAGCCTCAGAGACCTTCACAAACGGACGTCGGGGTGCTGGCAAATGCTGAGGCTTCTTTGCAAGCCCTTTCACCCTCCATACCCAACTCCTCCTGTGGTGATATGGAGGCCAACCCTGAGTGGAGTGGAGCAGACAGTCGGACACAGAGCCAGGAAAGTTGTGCCAGAAGTGACAGTGAAGCTGTAAGCTGTTTAAAAATCCATTATAAGCCTGAGGGGAAAGCCAGCGAAGGAGGCAATGCACCTCTGGTGGTCTCAGACGTATGCTTGATTGAAACTAAAAACTGTGAGGAAGAGGTCAGAGCTGAACTTTTATCTCAAACACAGACAGAGCAAACCCAAACAAACCCACAGCTCATAAGGTCAACAAGTGAGGAAAACTCTCCCAGTGCTCTTCAGAACCAGTTGAAAGAACCCATCCATCCTCCCTCTGTCCTAATATCAAGCATAGATAATGCTTCCTCATTACAAAATGTTTTACCAATAAAATTAAGGACATTCTCCCGCAAACACAAGAGTGAGCCTGACCTCAAGGCTGTTCACCTTGCAGCCAAGGGTGACAGGTCACCATGGAAACAAGCCTTAGGCCGGTGGCATAGCGAGGGCTCCTGCATAAGTGCCTCTGGTTCTATATCAACCTGCTCTCCAATACCTACATGCAAAAAACACTCTACAGACAAACACAAGGTGTTACTGGATGACCAGGACTCTGTAGCATCTCATCAAGACAGACTGTACTCTGAGTTTCCCAACACACAAGCACAGTGGACAAAAACTGATAGCAAAGACAAGCCCAGTGTTCCTCAGGATGAAGAGCAATCTCTGATATCTCGACAGGAAAGCTTCTGCTCCAGCGTATCCAGCCCCGGACAGGGCTGGATGAAGGAGGACGAAAGCTGTGGAATCCACTTGAATGACCGATCCTCAGGCTCCTTCCCAGAAGACGCTATATGTCCAGACAAACTAGAAAACAGCTCAGCCAACAGCCCTACTATAGCCCTGGAAAACAGCAGTAATTTACTGTAAGTAATCAGTCTTACTGTGAGGAATGAGTCTTCCAAAGTAGTAAGACCAACATGTGCAGACACTTACAGCCCACTGGCTATTTATTCTGGTGAAATGAGGACTGAGGACTGTTCTCTGTTTCCATTTATCTTAACAGGAAATTATGTCAGTTAGGCATCTGTGGCAAACATATGCTGATGATTAAATGTGTTGTATGTGTGTGATAAGCCCTGACCTTAATCAGACATAATGGGAAGCAGGATTTGATTTCTCACTTTGGGTATTCAAGACGTAGGCCTATTAGATCCAATGTTTTAGCTAGACAATACATAGGCCTATTAGATCCAATGTTTTAGCTAGACAATTACTAGCCGGTTAAAGCCAGTTTCACAGTATCTTCATTTTCACCGCTTAATCATAGTGACCTTTTTTCTTACTTAAAACGGTAGAAAGACCTGGAGAGATACCGAAATGGCTCACCACATAAGCCACAGCCCTTAGTGTGCAGTTGTTGATAAGACCTAGCAAACTGTTCCTGTAGATTACCATTCACACTGCTATGCTATGCACTCCTGTAAATATTGCTATTGTTGTGAAGCATAAATTTTGAATGTAAATGAAATGAAAATTGAAACAGTGCTCTGCAAGAAAGTAAGGCTGTGAATAAAACCCCTTAAACTCCTTAAGTGTCCAGGGCCCGCTAGCAGGCCCAAAGTTTTATTACACACTTCTATAACCTAACAACAGCTTAACCAGTTTGCATTGAAGTCCCTTTAATAACTGAATAATACCTAGATAAGATTTTAAGGAGTTGAAGTCTAAAAATGGTTGATTCTTCTTGTTGCTGTGTTGTTCTGGCAGTAAGCTGCAGCACATCATGGCGGAGTTGTTGCGGACTGAAAGAGAGTATGTGAAAGCGCTGGGCTATGTCATGGAGCACTACTTCCCAGAGTTGGAGCGCCCTGATGTACCGCAAGACCTGAGGGGCCAGAGAGGAAGCATCTTTGGAAACCTGGAAAAGCTCAGAGACTTTCATCAACACCACTTTCTTAAAGAGCTAGAACTTTGTCTAAGAGAGCCTTTTCGTGTGGGACGTTGTTTTCTAAGACATGTAAGTTTTTTGTAGCATTGCGATGAAATTTGTAGGTTGAAACTAAAACTGAATGTTGGGACACACTGGGACGAAAAACGAAAGCAAAAAGAAGCTGACAATAAAAAATTTGTTTACATAAATAAACTTACTGTAGCCTACATACGGTAATAATAACTGTATGTGGCATGAAGTCCTAAATCCTTGACAAAAGAGTACAGTTGATAATCCAAGGTGTTGTAGCCCTTATTGATCTTAGTCATGAACAGTGATTACAAGTCACACCATGAAATACTTCCACACAGCTGCTGCTCAAACTCTTTGAACATGTCTGTGCTGACTGGCTCAGGAAAGCAAACACATTTTTAATCACTATTTCTCATTTTCATTAACATTAGTATTTGCAGTCTCTTTGTTGTATTGTTCACTTTGTTGTGCGCTCATTTAGTTTTGTTGTTTTATTTTTGCAGTCAGAAAAATTCTGCCATTTTGACCTTTTTTGTCCAAAGATTTTTGGTGGCTGAATTGTTGGTGCATCCTTAGTTCTTTGCATACGACACATTCAAAGTAGAGTCCTCAAATGATTCACTTTGTGCGGCCACAATTATACAACCAACAGAAACACTTTTTATCACATGATAAAAATTCTCCAGTGGTCCATTCTGACCAGTTATTTTTCTGTTGCATTAATTTCCTCAATGTATTCTGACATTTGCTTCCTCTCCCAAACCCAGAAAGAAAGTTTTGGTCTCTACGCTCTCTACAGCAAGAATAAACCTCACTCAGACAACCTGCTCATTCACCACGGTAAAGAGTTCTTCAAGGTAAGGCCTGTGCCTTAACAGGTAGACACAAGGCACGGACTTGTACAAACTTCTTGATAAGAATATCATGAAACGTCCTGTTGAGCTATTTCTCTAATGATATCCAAGAACAATTCATCCACATAAGCCATATAAGGCCAAAACAAGAAGGAATGATTAATCTGTCTTCATTCCTCAGTAATTCCGGACAAGATATACTTCTCTGGTACTTTTGCAGCAGAAGCAGCAGCAGCTGGGGGATAAGATGGACCTGTCATCATACTTGCTGAAGCCAGTGCAGCGCATCAGTAAATACAGCTTGCTACTGCAAGACATGTTGCAGGAGTGCGATTTGGGATCACAACGAGGTCGCGAGCGAGCTGAGATACAGGCTGCACTTGAGGTCATCCAGTTCCAGCTTCGCCATGGCAACAATCTCCTTGCCATGGATGACATCCAGGATTGTGATGTGAGTTGGGGGTCGGACAGTAAATCTTTCACACTTAGAGGATTAAATGAATTTTCGGGGTTGGACACAAAGTCACTGCGCCTCAAATAATTTGTTCCACAGTGCCAGCTCTCACTTTTTGTCTGGTTAAAGAGGTTAGTTCTGCACAAAAAGAGAGGGTGTCATTCTTGTCAAAGTAATGGAAGCGGGAGATATAATCTTCTCTTCATTAACTCATGCATGAATATAGAAACAATTATAATAGTGTAGCTTTGGTGAGCAAGTAGATGATTTGGCGGGCAGCTCAAATTTCCCCTTTTAAATATCATCCATACAAACAAAGCATGAGGTTTACCAAGTTTATTTTTGGCCACTTAAATCAGGAATGGTGCAGTCTGATCTATCCCCTGAGGACTGATTAATCCCAACGTTCATTTAGAGAGTATGTTCCACCACTTTGTATACTGCAACATTTACCCAGTATATCTTATTAATGCCATAGCTTGTTTATGCACGTTATTCCTGGATTGTTTTTGTGTATACATGTAGTTTGATACACTGTGATGTGTTTTAAATATATGAAAAATATGAAAGGTGTTAGACAGTAGCATTATTACTATTAAGAAGCCTTGATATTTAAACAACTATAAAAAAAAAAAATCAACTATATCTACACAGGTGAACCTGAAGGAACAAGGGCAGCTGATTCGCCAAGATGAGTTCCTGGTTTCCTATAGAAAAAAGAAATGTTACAGGCATATTTTCCTCTTCCAAGATCTTATCCTCTTCAGCAAGACCAAGAAGACAGAGTTTGGGAATGACACGTATATCTACAAACAGTCATTCAAGGTAATCTGATATTTACATGTTTCCCGATTTTATTTTTATTACTGTTATTTGAATGAGGGATGAGCAATATGACATTATTGTGATCATAATATTTTACAGTATGCTTTTCTGAGCATATTGTGGATATTGTCAGTACTTCTAGGACACTGATCAACTCTATTTCAGTGGAAAAGAGCAGAATTAGTCCTGTCTAATGTCGTGTAGCACAATATCACAATTTGTACTCAAAAGGTTTGATAATATTTTTTAAATGTGGTACCACTGGCTTTTTCATCAACATTTCAGAAAAAAATGTTTTCATGTTCTAGTATGAATTTTTTTTATGATTTGATGATCCACGCAGCATCATCCTAAAGCTTGTATTTTTTTGAAGGAGCACAAAAACTGAAATCTCGTTTTCATTTGCTACCTGTTTTCACAACATCACAAATAAATACATTTACAGCAGCATATTACACAAAATGACAACTTGATGATGGACAAACTTTTTATATATTGTGATCATCATGTAATATACAATATATTAAAAACACATTAAGGAATCCTTGATCCTTATGTGGTTGAACACTGGATTTAATTACTAAAATGGTTTACATTAGTTGGATAATGCAAATCTTTTGATTTACCCAAGCACCCACAGAAACACTCATTTGTAATGCTATTCAAGATGTTCTCAGCACACAGTAAAAGTTATACTGATTTGTTATAATATGCAATATACCACTTTTTTATGAATTTATTACTTATTATTATTATGTGCTTTCTGAGATCGGTACGACAAAAGTCAATTTTACGATAACAATTAACAAGTGAAAGCCAGAGTACAATTTGTGCACTGGCACCACAGGTATAATGATAAAGAAAAGTGCATGAACACATACATTAAGGCCCAATCCCATTTCTTCTTTTTACCCCACCCCTTGTTTTCCAGTGTCACCCTAACCCCTTGGAACTGGGGTAGTGGTTAAAAACTTGCCCTACGAAACGGGACAACCCTTAAAAAAAAAAAACAAAAACAAAACATCGCTTCATTAACGACCTTCTAGCGCTGCTCTGCAGGTGACCCAGCGCGTCTTCAGTGATAGCAGAGAAGGGAGAAGTTCAGCAACCTCGCTGCTGGGCTTTAGTTACATTTAGCGCATCAAATGCTCTCAAAGAGGGGAATAAGACAATCATTTATTATCACCCACTCCAATTATTTGATGATATGAAGCTGAAGTCATCTATTCGCTAGCTTCTTGTTCGAATTTTCCCGTTCCACCTTAAATGGTGCAGTAGAAAATTGTCACATTTGTGGGTTTCTTCTGTCGCTCGCACAGCCATCTTGCCGGTTATTCTTTTTTTTTCATAACACTCCGTTTGGAGTGTGCCTCTGAAAAATCTCAGTTTGGAGGGCCATGTAGCCCTAACACTTCGCCCTACCCCTCTATCTCAACTAAAATTGGGACACCATAACCGTAGACGTGAACGCGCAAAACAGGGCTAAGGGCTATTGGAGTGGAGGATGCCATCATCCACCTCCTACACAGCTCTCTCTCTCACCTGGAGAATGCTGGGAGCACTGTGAGAATCATGTTTTTTGATTTCTCCAGTGCTTTCAATACCATCAAACCCACACTGCTGAAGGACAAGCTGGAGTGCACGGGCCTGGACCATCACCTCACCACCTGGATCCTGGACTACCTCACTAACCGACCGCAGTATGTGAGGACCCAGGGCTGTCAGTCGGACACGGTGGTCTGCAGCACGGGGGCTCCACAGGGAACTGTCCTCGCTCCCTTTCTCTTCACCGTCTACACTGCGGACTTCAAGTACAGCTCTGCCAGTTGTCACCTGCAAAAGTTCTCTGACGACTCTGCTATCGTCGGCCTCATCACAGACGGAAATGACAGGGAGTACAGAGAACTGACGCAGGACTTTGTGGAATGGTGCCAGAGGAACTGCCTGCAGATCAACGCAGGAAAAACCAAGGAGCTGGTGGTGGACTTCCGCAAGTCCAAACATTCTCCTCCGGTGCCTGTGAACATCCAGGGAATGGACATTGAGATTGTGAAGTACCTGGGTGTTCACCTCAACAACAAGCTGGACTGGACTGACAACACAGCTGCCCTCTACAGGAAAGGCCAGAGCTGGCTACATCTCCTGAGGAGACTCAGGTCCTTTGGCGTGCAGGGGGCACTTCTCAGGACCTTCTTCGACGCTGTGGTGGCATCAGCCATTTTTTAGGGAGTGGTGTGCTGGGGCAGCAGCATCTCCATTGCTGACAGGAAGAGACTGAATAAGATCATCAGGAAGTCCAGCTCTGTCCTGGGATGTCCTCTTGACCCAGTGGAGGTGGTGGGGGACAGGAGAATGAGAACTAAGCTAACAAACATGCTGAAGAACCTGTCCCACCCCATGCACCGCTCTCTGACAGCACTGAGCAGCTCCTTCAGTGCCCGGCTGCGGCACCCGCGGTGCGTGAAGGAGAGATACCGCAGGTCCTTCCTCCCAGCCGCTGTCAGACTCTATAACAGTCACGGCACTCAGTAGACAGTAGTTTACAATTACTTTCCATGTGCAAGAACTCTCAACATCACTGCCATAGCACTTTACTGTGTGCAATATCTCAATCCACCATGCATAGTATATTCACTGCGGATCATTGTCAACATGTTTACCACCATTATGTGCAATTATGTCAAGTGCAATATTTCTCCATTTATTTACTGTTTATTTATTTGCTATTTTATTCACTGTGCAATACTCACTACAATACATACATTTCTACATTTCTAAATTTAAATTTAATACTTTGTATATTTTTCTTATAATCTTTGTACATATACATATATATCTTTATACTTTTATTGTTTATTCTATTTAAATATTGTTTGTATATTTCCTGCTGCTCTGTCTTCTGTGCTGCTGTAACACTGCAAATTTCCCCGTTGTGGGATTAATAAAAGATTATCTTATCTTATGTTATCTTATCTTATCTTATCTTAAGGGCTAAGTGGTAGGGGCAAGGGGTGAAATGGGATTGGGCCTAATTCTCCTTTCTGTTCTGTTCATTTCTATCTCTCTGTACTCTGCCAGACCTCGGACATTGGTATGACCCATAACTGTGGAGATTCTGGACTGTGCTTTGAAATCTGGTTTCGAAGGCGAAAGTCTCAGGACACGTATACACTTCAGGCAGGAACCCGGGAGATAAAGGAAGCCTGGACCAAAGACTTGGAGAGGATCCTGTGGGAGCAGGCTGTTCACAACAAGGGTTAGCACACTGTGCTTTTTTATCTTTATCGGAACTTGCGTTCACTTTTAATCTCATTAGTTTGGTAGCTCATTGTCTTATAGTCACTCATTTTCTTTCCACTGAGAAGAGAGCAGTTTGGAACAGGAACTTCTTTCCTATTTGACAGTAAAATCAGAAACCTTCATATATAAAGTCATGAGCATCAAGACTTAAGATACCCTGCAAACATCCCAACACAGATATGGAAAAGTGTATTTATGCTTTAGTGCTCTTGAGCTGACGTTAAACTAAATGTGAAACTGTCCAACCGAGATCATATGAACAGATGAATATACAGGGGTGGAGTTGTGAGACGTATTAAATTACTAGACAGCTCATCTCTCAAACCTACCACAACCTTTTCTTCTGTGTTAACACCCTTTCTTAATGTCTTGCTCTTCCTTCTCATATGTCCCAAAAGACGGCCTTTCGGTACAAGTTATTTTTTCAGGAGAGGTTTCAGAGGAATTTTGACAAGAGGCAATCCACTTGCGTAAGAAACAGGAAGGTCAAAGAAAATGAGTGAAAAAAAGTTCCCAGAACTGGAGTATAAATAGATCATTAAAAGATATCAAAGAATGGGACTACTAACAACAGCAGACCACCAAAACTATCACCAGCAGATACTCTATCAACATGAGATACAAGAGTACTTAAAGCTTTTATCTTGGTATTTCTGTTTATTTTTCCACTGTGAGAAGACAGCCTAACGCTGTGGGTTTGAAAGGATGTGTAGCTGTGAAGAAGCTCTTACTAACAAAATCTGATTTTCTGCTGTTATCAGATTATTAAGTGCATGTGAATACACTCAGTGAATGTGTTTGGGATTACTTGGAGTGTGAGAAGCAGAAATTGTAAACAGCGTCTTTGAATGTGTGGAAAAAATATCTGCAGATTTCTTTAAAAAATTGAAAGAAAGTCTGTAATAAAGACAAGTGAGGACACACTAAATACTGAAAATGTAGTATATAAAGTTTCTGTTAAACATGTTTCTGCTTTTCTTCCTAATATTGGAAATGAATAACTTGTACATAATGGAATTTTTGACTGGAAATGAAATAAATGAAAGATGATCTCTGGCTTTTGCACAGTACTATACATGTTTTCTAAACTGCCAGAAAGGTGTGTGACTGACATCAGAGTGTATCTGCCTCAAAATTTATTTCTACTATTACTGGTTGCTTCACACAGAGATCCGTATGCAAGAGAGGGTGTTTATGGGAATTGGCTACAAGCCTTTTATGGACATTATGCCCAGCGAAGCTGCCATCTGCGATCGTGCCATCAACTGTGCTCTAACAGGACGAGGTGAGAAAGCAGTGAAAACATTCCTCATGTACTAACAGCGATAGCATTTTAAATAAAGATGAAATATATTATCCTGCACCAACACATACATACTGTGGATAAAGTGTGTTCAACAGCAATCTGAATTCAGCTGCTATCGACAAAAAACAAAATAGCCGTGGAATGGCATGTTTTTTATCACTGGATTGAATAACTATTTAATTCTATGTGCATTTCTTCCTTGTTCTCAGACTGCAAGGCAGCTGCTTTTTCTGGGATGGCTGACTCTCAGGGCAGCTTCCCAGTCCAGAGGCCAAATTCTACAGGTTCAGCCAGCTGTACATCATCTTCCTCTTCCTCCTCTGGTCGGGGCAGCATGTCACCTGTGGGTTACCTGATTGGTCCCAGTAGAAGAGCAGTTTCTGAGTCTGGCCATGGAAGATTCTCTAGTCCAGGAGTCTTAGAAGAGTATGACATAGAGCAGGAAAATAGCAGCCAAAGTCTACTAGGTGAGGCAGTCATAACATGGCATCCAGTCTCTGTCTACATTTTGAGCAATGGCCATTGCTGAATCGTCTTTAAGAACTGTAATGTCAGAATGCCTGCATGGAATGTAGATATTTTGCTAAGTCTCATCTGTTTTGTTTCAGTGGACAGTTCTGAATCCTCAGGAGAGAGCGTGAGTGGCTTTAGCAGCTCTGGCTACAGCTGCCAGTCTGTGACTGGAGGGGAACATGAAGAAAATTCTTCAGAGATGCCTGCCACTGGTGTGAGGAAAGCAGGGCCCAACGACATGGAGAGGAACAAAAACAAATCCAAAATATCTTCTAAACCACAAAGCCAAATAAGGGACCAACCACTCAAAAAGGTACAAGTGTGAGAATGACTTCAAAAGGTTCTAGCTGATCTTTGGATTTTTATGGTTTAAATTAGGGATGCACAGATCAGGAATTTTTATGGCCAAATTACAGTTCCAGCTTCTCAGACAAATTGGCCAATGGTTATTTTTTATATATCTTTATATACCTTTTTATAACCTGAACCTCACAGTGTCTTGGCTACATGAACTACATAAGCATATTTACAGTACTTTCTGTTAGGCAAAGTTGCAACATAAATAACATTATTTGCTCTTGAATGGACTAAACTGACATTTTAAATTCTTAAATGAAACTTGCCAATTAATATAACATGAATCAGATAAGGTACTACATTGGAGGAAAGCAGTGTGGCTGCAATTATGCTACAACATTTCGAATGTACTTACTTAGCTCACATTATGCACATCATAAAATTGCAACACAGGTTGGCCAAAGTAAAAAGTAATTAATTGGCTGATTGCTGATCGCATGTTCTGCCAATGTTGAACTTGGACTTTTCCATTCTGTGCATTCCTAGTTTTATTACTATACTCCAGTCATATTTTGTAATGAATCATAGTTTATATCTGTTGTAAATGGATGTTGTCTAATAAATGTTTTTCTTTACAATGCAGGTTCAAGGGAACAATCACGTGGGAAAATCAACCGAAGTTTAACTGTGAATATTATATACAGCATTCAGTGCTATGGACCACATGGAGTGCTTGATGTTTCAGCTTAACAAACCACAGAACACCTTATCCTGGAGAGTGTGACAGTTTTGGGATGGTGTATCACTGTGCAGCATACTATATATTATTTCTGATGGCTTTTGTGGACACTAGCAGTTTCTGCTGACTCTTTTGCAGTGTATTGTTTTTATAGCCTTTTGGTTAACCAAATTCAAAATGAATCTTCACCTTACTAGCTAAGGCAAGGTTATGGTTACATTGTTGGTTACTCTGTGTGTGGATGTGTGGGTGTGTGAGTGTGTGTGTGTACGAGTGTTGATCTGAGCTGTGTGGATTTTATATTGGTGTTTGAGAGCCGTTTGGCTTTCATCAAAGAGCAATTTCTTCTCTTTTGCTTTTTGGACAGTTATTATCCTGTTCATTGCTTCTTTTTTCACTATTTTGTATTTATTGAATTCAAATAGAAATGTTAATATTGACATCTAACTAGATATATCCAGTTGTGCATAATATTATAAGTGTAATCATCTAGTGATATTTTGTAGTCCCACCCCATAGCACCCATTAAAAGGTAACCGTTCCTTACAGATAAAGGCTTTCCTCCCAAAAAATCTCATAACTGTATCCGTTTTCTTTAACAGACTCCTGTGTGATTTCAGATGTTGTTCCCAAACCTACTAACAGGTTCAGATTGCTTTGTTGTAAGTGGGATATTGCTGCACTCTAAGCAAGTGTAATTGAAAATAAAAAAGAGAACAGCACTTGAACTCATATCAAAAGAGCCAAAAGGCTATGTGATATTAAAGGAGGATCGTGCTTACAAATGGAGCAAAATGCTGCACATTCACTACACTGGCTTGTTTAATTTTGAGACTGTGGGATATAGTATAGTATATAGGCCCACACTTAGGTTCAGTTTAAGTTATTTTAACATACTAAAACATTCCACACACACAGAAAACAGAAAAAACATCTGTAGTGTTTAAGGGGTTACCCAGTACTTAATTCAGTTGTACTGAGTGAGAAAACCCACCACGACCCAGAAGGATAAGCAGTTTAGATGATGTGTGTGTGTGTGTGTGTGTGTGTGTGTGTGAGTGAGAAAACACCTGGTACTGTGGAACTGTATTGTGGGATACATACCTATGGATGCTCCATTGACAACCTAACCTTTTACCTGATATGCCCCCTGTTACTGAGGTTTGGAAGGGTCTACTAGTTCTTGCAGGTTTTTGCAGGAAAGGGGAACTATTGCTTTCTTCAGAAACATACTAAAATACTTACCGTAACCCTATTCTTTGGACATGCCCCACCCAGCAGCTCACCCCTAATGCATCCAAGAGATGGTGTGTCAGGAACCTGATAATCATAAGTTGCTCTGTAGGACTTTTGGCAAGCACCCAAGAGCAAACACAGTAGTTCTAGTTGATGGTTGTTCTAGTTCTAGTGTCTTGTTGATGATACTAGAAATGACTGGTTACTGTCAGAGTTCCAGAGAGGCAAAAACAGTCAACGCTTCAACTGTCATAAAAGCATTGGTCACAAAAACAGCAAATTATTCAATTATAAAAAATAATGTAAATCATCACCACATCCCCAAACGTGAATTAGCTGGATTAGAAAAGAGGAAGAGCTGACTCACTGAGAGGCATGGATAGAAAGTAACTGTAAATATAAACTGTACTGTTATTACTTTTTCACTTGAAAATAGTCCAAATTCTTATTTTGTTCGAAAAATAGGAGCAAACTTCATTTAATCATAATTGATTCTAAAATTCTAAAATGATCACAGCTGAATTGATGCCTTAAGATCATCATGTCTGAGTTTTGCACCTTTACACCTCTAGTACTGACATATTCACGTTAAGTGTTTCACCACTGTGCATTTATTTCCCAATCATCAAACTGTGCATTTATTTCCCAATCATAGCCCATCCTGAAATTTATTTCTTAAACCTACGTCCTCAAAATGACCACAGACTGTGATTGGGCTATGATTGGAAAACAAATACACAATTTGACCAATAGTGAAAAATAATAGTCTGATCTTTTCCATCTTTTAAGCTTTGTCTTACATTCAGAGGGATTTTAGGGTTGGAGAAATCAGAAGGATGCATTAAACATTATATATCTTTTCACAGTGATTAAACTATTATTTATACCTGTGGTTCTACAGTGACAGGAGTAGACATCTTGTCTGAGTAAATAGGCCTGATTTTGCTCTGTAAATTCATACACAGACAAGAACAATAGAGCAGTGTATACGTCACATACCAGGCCCACATGATGCGTCACAGTTCCAGACGACGCTCCTAATCACAATGTTACTGTTTCACTGGTTTCCTCCAGAATGAGGTCAAATGGAGTTGATGAAACCTTTATGGGAAGTTCATAGGAGTGAAACAAACGTAATAGTTCTGAAACGTCCACTTCCTTCACTGTCAGAAATGCTGTGTTATCACAATTTTAACACATTTCGTGTTGAAACACCACAAACATGTTGAAACATTTGACGTTTTTGTTTGAACTAATGAACTATAAATGAATTGATGTAACTATTGAGTTTTTCTTTTTTTGGTTTTATTATAGTGTATTCTGACCATAAGGACATAAGAAATTACAACATATCTTGGTTGAAAAAAATTGAACACAGACATTTTTTATATGTTAATAGAAAATAATGCATTGTTTGTCTTTCAAAATGTGCTGTCCTTAACTACAGATGTGTTAAAATAAATAAGGGGAAAAGATTTTAGACACTAAGTTGGCTTGACAAATTCAGCTAATAACATTTCAAAAGTTAAAGCAGCTGCAGACAAAGTTGAATGTTTTTGATTGCTATTGTATTGTATGGTAAGGTATGCTATGTTTTCCCAGGCAGTTACTTAAGTGTTGCTTACCATACTTGTATGAAGGTGACATAAAAGAGTGTCTGTTTAGCTGCAGAGTCTACTGACTGTGGTAGAATAAGAGGTTAAGTATTATATAAGATGTTTCAGGATGTTGCGCATTTTCCCATTCATTCCTATTGGGGGAAAAATGTTTGCACAAGCACTGTACAAACACAGTAAGTTGAGACCTATTCAAGTATAGTATAGTATATGGCTCCAGCTTGAAATCTGTAGGAGGAGTGGCATTGCAATTTCATGACTTTGTAATGATAATAATAAGGAAGAAAACAAAGAACAGAAGCTGGCTTTTTCAAGCCAACTTAATGACACATTGCATGTTAGTTTTAACACCTCTTTGCATCTGTTTAGAGAACATCTATTTCTCAGAGAGCTGGAAGCGTTTTCCACACACACACACGTCAGGCACCAAGAAAGAAAATATTTCTCAACTTCCTATTTAGTTATGATACATTGTTACTCTGGAAAAACTCTTAATTTCTTAACCCTCTCTTCAGAACAATTGCAAGAAAAGAAAAGGTGTTCTTGAAAAAAGTATGCTCTTAAAAACAGCCTCATGTCTGTCTTGGACCATAAGAATTTACGTTGTAAGCTTCTAAACAATATAAGTTCAGATGAGTCTCATAGGAAATAAATCTGTTGGTTGTTTCCTCCAACCTCACTTCCAGTTCTTGTTTTCTGTAAAATTCTGAATGGTGTAATTTTGTTTTTCCTTTATGCTGAGAAGATTAAAGCGAATAAAATAATTATAAGATTAAACAGAATTAGAAGTAAAGCTTAATTCAAATTCAAAATGCATCTCATTTGATCCTAAGGGTCCCTGTATTGGCCAGCATATTAGTTTTTCTCTCTTATAACAACATAGCTTGCATGGTATATAGTATTTAATATTACCAAATTATTTACATTCATGTTTAATCTTTACTCTCATATAAACTCATATTCACTAATGTTTTCTTATTTGGGATTTTTTGGGGTTAAATGGTTGGTATAGTGTAGTGGGTCACACCACTGTTTTCTACGCTGTAGACTGGGGTTCAATCCCCTGCATGGGCAAGCACCCTACCCTATACTAATAAGTGTCTTTAGGCAAGACTCCTAACAGAACCTTTGCCTGCCTGTGTCAAATGTGACATTGTAATGTAAATTATTTGTTCTTAGGTAAGAACAGAATCTACACACACTCAAGAGCACAAAGCTGCGAACAATTCTGTGGTTTTAAGAACATGTCATGAACCCGATGTAGACTTTTTCTTAGGACTTTTCTCAAGAACACATTAAAGAAAACACTTAGGAAGAAATTGTTGAATGAGGCCCAATGGTATGAACTGGGGCTGTGTATTAAATAAAGTATTACCTCATTTAACTCTTTAAATAGAATAGAATAGATTAGAATAAAAATAGAATAGCAACACATTCAGTAATCAAGTAGAACATTTTTCAGATGAACTGACAAACTTTCTCCTTTCCTTCCTTTCAGTATTAGACAATGGCTGGAAGGCATCGGTTTTCAACAGAGCAACCTGCTGCTGCACACATATGCCTTCCAGCCATTCATCCTTCAAGTGTTGAGAGACTCAGTCTTTTACCCCTCCCCCATCACACACACACACACACACACTAGCCCCCCAACACCAAGCCCCCGCCCCCAAACCCACACACGCGCACAGCTCCTAAGAATTTCAGTGACGTGCTGCTGCACTACAAATAAAGTCTCGCTCCACAGCTCATGCACTGCTGAAGCACTGAAGAGGCAGATCATTCCAGCATTCCAGAGGACATCACCACATCTCACGCATCAGCATGGGTGAGTGTCAGCACGTCCTAACCCCTTTTTCCTCTCTCTCCACTTCCACAACCTCAAAAACAGTTTATCTGTGGGAGGTGTGACTTTTAGAAACTACAGGCTGTGGCTCTGCGTGTGCTTAAGTGTATTTTGGACAATACATTTGGTTCTATATAGGCCAGAAAATGCTGCTCATGCAGAAATCTTTCTTGGTGCTACATATAACCATTTCTAATGTTCTTTAATCACACAGAAGAACCGTTTAACCATGCAAAGAACCACCTAAGCATTTGCATTCAAATAGTTCTTTGAGTTGTTATGCTTCTATATATTTACTAAAAAACTTTTTTCCTAAAGAACTAAAGAAGGGTCTAGACACTGAAGATATTAAAGTGCCCGTATCCTACATTTTTACTGTATGCTATTTATTCATTGTTTTCCCTGAGCTCCAGTTACAATATATGTGTGCTTTCATGCACCCAAATAACAATTCATTTTTACACAGCTATGCATGTTTATCCCATAGAATAAACAGGTTATATTTGTTACTGTTTTTGAAGACTGTCTATGTAAAGGAGCACAGTTCTGATTGGCAGTTCAGGTTGAAACACTCATAACTTTAATCTGAATGGGTGGGGCTAAAGTGCTATAATGTCAAGTGGCATCTATATGTAAATGTGGTTGTTTTTTGTGACATCACAAAATCAACATATTTAGAATGGGTTGTTTGTGCAGCCTAGTTTCCATGTATGGACTCGTTTGACTATCACATTTAATAATGACTTGACATGTGTGTGTCTGACAAGGCCTTAAAGAGAGCAGCTAAAGGTCACGTTTGTTGGCCTGCTGGCCGCATGCTAATGAATTCTCTAATCTGTCGGACATTCTTGTTTAGACCCCTATAGCTCCCAATGAAACACAGCTGAAACCTGTGCAGAATAACCAGTTTCAGCTGTGGAGCCTGGCATGTGTGTCTAACAGGGCTAAATTAAGTTGTACCCAAGTGTTTTTTCAGACTGAGTTATAATGGGGACGCTCTTGTTATTTGAAAAGTTTGAATTAACTCAGGGGCCGGACAGCGAGAGCGACTTTACAGATAGTTTATGCACAGGAGCTGATTATGAGGAGCCTACAGCCCTGAGCTAAACACAAACGGAACATTGCAGCAACATTTCCAAAAACATTTTTTTTTAGAAGCACAAGAAGGTCATTGAATGTGACCCTGTTCTTTTTCTTCACTGTTTACAGAAGTCTTGCCTCTTTTACTGATTCATTCATTTACTCACTTAACAGTCAGTCTCTACACAGAGGGCAGACTGGAAGTAAAACAGAGGTGTGTCCCTGTGTCAGCTGGCCAAGGGTAACACTTTCAAGCAAACAAGCAAACATAAACACGCACGCACATGCACCCACACACTTCTATACTAAGAACCAGTCAAATTAGAATACATTACACACATTCATGACATGTATATCTATGTATATAAATATATCAGTATCATATATCATGTGCACACACACACATATATATATATATACACATTTGTGTGTGTGTGTGTGTTGTTGGGTGTGTATACAATTGTCTTTCAGTGTTTTTTTCTTACGGCTCTTACAAGGATCAGTTAGTTTGAAGACGTCCAAATTCAAACCCTACACTGTGAAAAGGTTCCTAATAGTTATCATTTTGGATGTAGAGTTCTATAACAATGAAGTGTGTCCACCCTTTTACTTTATTACAACTTCTGTCCTTGGTCATCTGTGCTTTGGAGCGTTTCTGTTTTGAAGCATTTCTATATGTCCATTCATCCTGAAATTTTTACACAATGTAAAAGACAGCTGCCGCTTAAACAGAAAAATAAAAATAACAATTTTTCTAGAGACGGTTCTCAAACTGGACCTCAGGGCCTCACTGACTGTCTGAATTTTTCCTCTATTCAGAGCAAAAATGCAGACCGTCTGGATGAACCTCAGGACTAGTTTGAGGACCAAGCCTTTAAAGAATGAAATGTTGAAAGTTCTTTAGAGAACCAAAGTTGCTCTTCTATGGCATTGCTCTAAAGAACCCTTTTTTCAGCACCTTTAAAAGTGTAATAGGAAGATTTTATGGGTGTATACTGAAGGTCTTTAATGGGCATTTTTATCTGTGGTATGTGTTGATGTGAACTACTTCCTTTTGAAGAGGCCCATAAAGAAGGCATCTTAAAGCTCACATCTGTTGACCTGTTGGACATGAGCCAAATGCATTCTCAATGAATTCTCTAATCTCTTAAACATTCTTGTTTAGACCCATATACCTCACAATAAAACACAGATGAAACTTGTACTATATAACTGGCCTCTATACTTACTGAACACCATCACATGTTCATGAATTCTACAATGAAAAAAAACTTTTTGGTCTAGATCTAGTACTGACTGTTGCTCTAAAGTCAGGCATGTAGGCTGTTCCTGTTGTTTTGTGTTGTATTCAGTGTTGTATGCTGTATTTACTGGTTCTCAAACCAGCCCTCAGGGTCCCCCATATGCTCCTGATACATAGGGACAGAGCAAAAATGCAGACCATCTGAGAGGCTCTGAGTACTTGTTTGAGAAACACTGTTATATGCAACACCTGATTCTAAATACTGTGCGAAATTCTTGCCATCTTGCCAGAGACTAAGAGTAATAGAGTAAATAAAGAATATACAGTACTGTGCAAAAGTCTTAGGCAGCCATGAAAACTTTTTAAAACTATTTATCTTTTCAGTAAGTGTGTTTTTGCCCATAAATGCTTCGTCACATTAGAATAGATAAAACACCAGTTTTTTTTTGTTCGTTTGCATTATATTTGCATTGTAGATATCGAGACCTCTGCTTCCTATGACCACCATTCCAATAGGTTTGTCTACAATTAACCATTTCACATAACAACACTCTCAATGATTGTTTACATCTCTACATTTGAAAAGATTTTTTTTGAGAAGATGGTTGTCCCTTCTAATATCTTAGTTTGAAAAATACAGGTTTGGTTCCTGGCTTCTAGGCATGTGTCAAGCTCCAGTCCCCACAGGCCAAAACACTGCAGACTTCAGCACGCTGCCTCATTAAACACACCTGATTCAGCTCTTCAGCTAAATAGCAAGACCTTCATGAACTAAATTCAGAGAGTTAGAAGAAGGTAAACGCTAATCTCTGCAGCACTTTGTCCCAGAAGGTCCCCAGTTTGACATGCCTGGCTTAAGATCTTTGCACAGCGTCACATGTATGAGAACTAGGTTGAAAGTGCAGTCCCTTGTTTTCATTGTGTTTTCCCCTGAATTTAAATGATCTTTCCTCTTATGGGACAGACCACACCTGTCTCAAGGAAACTAACATTACAGTGATTCCTCCATCAGGAAAAGGGAGAGGAAAAATGACTCAGTCTTCCTCTCACTCCTTCATTCCCTGAAGAAAAAGAAAGGGCAGGGAGTTTAACTTCACCACCTAGTGCAGAGTGACTCTTTTATATGAGCTCTTTTCATGTGTCCTCATTTCTAACATTACATTTAAGCATGTAAAACAGTGAAATCAGCACCAAATAATTTTATCTTATTTGATAAAAGGCCAAAAATGTATTTTGGCCAAGAAATGAGTGCATATTTGCTGAATGTTATTATGATTCATTACTCAGGCTGATGCCCTGTGATGCTTTAATGCATATAAATAGTGTTATAGTAAATAGTGTGTATAGTGAAAATAGTGTTAAACTTACAAATTATCATCTGATTTAATCAGAAGAACCATAAAGTGTAACTGATGTTGTGTGCTGCTGCTTTAGTACACATTCTAAACCCACATATCCAACATTTTTCTTGTATTCCTGGAAGTCTATTTAATGCAGTTGTGTTGTATTACGTACTAAAACCAGTCATAATTCATTTTTATATGACTATTTTCCAACTTTTTATCCCTTAGAATTAAACAGTTTTTACTACTGTGCCCTAAGACTCATCATCATCATCGTTAACCACTTAGTCCAGATAGGGTCGCGGTAGCAGTTGGGAGAGCAGAGAATCCCAGGTGACCCTGTCCCCCGCAACTTCCTCCAGCTCATTCCCGGGGACCCCAAGCCGCTCCCAGGCCAACTTGGAGATATAATCCCTCCAGCGGGTCCTAGGACGACCCCGGGGTCTTATTCTGGTAGGCCGTGCCTGGTACACCCCCACCGGGAGGCGTCCAGGGGGCATCCGGATCAGATGCCCGAACCACCTCAGCTGGCTCCTCTCAATGCGGAGGAGTACCGGCTCTACTCCGAGCTCTACGGCTCAGCTCTCTCTTCACCACTACAGTCTGGTACAGCGACCACATTACTGCTGCCGCTTGTCCCAGCCTGCGGTCGATCTCACGATCCTTCTTCCCATCACTCGTGAACAAGACCCCGAGATACTTAAACTCCTCCACCTGGGGCAAGTCCTTTCCCCCTACCTGGAGTGGGCATACCATCCTTTTCCGGGCTAAGACCATGGACTCAGACTTGGAGGTGCTGATCCGCATACCAACCGCTTCACACTCAGCTGCAAACTGCTCCAGTGTGCGCTGGAGGCATCCATGTGATCCAGCCAAAAGAACAACATCATCTGCAAATAGCAGAGACGCCATCCTCCGGCCTCCACACATAATGCCCTCCTGACTCCGGCTACGCCTTGACACCCTGTCCATGAATATCACAAACAGGAGTGGAGACAGGGCACAACCCTGGCGGAGTCCAACGCTAACACTGAAAGAGTCCGACTTAATGCCAAGTATACGAACACAGCTCTCACTCCGGGCGTACAGAGATTGAATGGCCTGGAGTAGTAACCCCGGCACCCCATACTCCCGGAGGACCTCCCACAAGATATCTCGGGGAACACGGTCGTAAGCCTTCTCCAAATCCACAAAACACATGTAGACTGGGTTGGCAAACTCCCATGCCCCCTCAACAATCCATGAGAGGGTGAAAAGCTGGTCCATTGTTCCACAGCCAGGACGGAATCCGCATTGTTCCTCCTCAATCTGAGGTTCAACTATCGGTCGAAGTCTCCTTTCCAGCACCTTGGCATAGACTTTCCCAGGGAGGCTGAGCAGTGTGATACCCCGATAGTTGGCACACACCCTCCAGTCCCCTTTCTTGAAAATAGGGACCACGACCCCAGTCTGCCAGTCCAAGGGTACTGTTCCCGAGGTCCATGCACTATTGCAGAGCCGGACGAATCTCATCCACCCCCGGTGCCTTGCCACTGAAGAGCTTGCCAACTACCTCAGTGACCTCCACCAGGGAAATGGAACTTGACACGCCAGAGGCCTCTGGCCCTGACTCCCGTGAGGGAGGCATATCACCCGGATTAAGGAGTTCCTCAAAGTGCCCTTTCCACCGACCGACAATATCCTCGTTTGAAGTCAGAGTTTCTCCACCCCTGCTGAATACAGCCTGGGCGCAGCCACCCCGACCACTCCTGAGTCGCCGGACAGTTGTCCAGAACCTCCTCGAGGCCGACCGAAAGTCTTTTTCCATGGCCTCACCAAACTCCTCCCACGCCCCGGATTTTGCTTCTGCCACCGTTGCAGCTGCCACCTTTTTTGCCTGTCGGTACCTATCTGCTGAATCGGGAGTCCTTCGGGCCATCCAGTCCCTAAAGGCCTCTTTCTTCAGCTTGACGGCCTCCCTCACCACCGGTGTCCACCAGGGGGTTCTTGGGTTACCACCATGACAGGCACCAACAAGCTTTTGGCCACAGCTATGCCTGGCAGCTTCCACAATGGAGGTTTTGAACAGGGTCCATTCAGACTCTATGTCCCCTACCTCCTCCGGGACATGAGAAAAGCTCTCCCTGAGGTGGGAGTTAAAATCATTCCGAACAGGGGCCTCCGACAGTCGTTCCCAGCACACCCTCACTATTCGCTTGGGCCTACCGGGTCTAACCCTCAGTCTTCCCTGCCATCTGATCCAACTCACCACCAGATGGTGATCAGTTGACAGCTCAGCACCTCTCTTCACCCGAGTGTCCAGAACATATGGTCTCAAGTCAGATGAAACGACAACAAAGTCAATCATTGACCTTTGGCCCAAGGAGCTCTGGTACCATGTACACTTATGAACATCCTTGTGTTCGAACTTGGTGTTCGTTATGGACAATCCATGCCTGGCACAGAAGTCCAATAACAATTCACCATTCAGGTTTAGATCGGGCAGGCCGTTCTTCCCAATCACGCCTCTCCAGGCCTCCCAGTCATTGCCAACATGAGCATTGAAGTCTCCCAGTAAGACTATAGAGTCTGTAGTCGGGACCCTTTCCAGAACCCCGCCCACTTGTTCCAAGAAGGCCGAATACTCCGACCTGTTTTTTGGTGCATAAGCACACACAACAGTCAGAGTTTTCCTCTCTGCGATTTTAATACGCATTGAGGCGACCCTCTCGTCCACCGGGACAAACTCCAACTGCACTGCCGCCAGCCGGGGACTCGTGAGTATCCCCACACCCACCCAGCGCCTCTCACCTTGTGCAACCCCGGAGTAGGAGAGGGACCAACCCCTATCCAGGAGTTTGGTTCCAGAGCCGATACTGTGGGTGAAGGTGAGCCCAACTATATCTAGTTGGTACCTCTCAACCTCCCGCACAAGCTCCGGCTCTTTCCCCCCCAGTGAAGTTACATTCCACGTACCAAGAGCCAGTTTCTGCCGCAGGGGCCTAGGCCACCAAGGGCCCCCCTGCAATCTCCCACTGCCTGTACGGCACTGCACCACTCCCCCATGCTGGACCTTGCGGGTGGTGGGCCCACATGGTCCCCCCACGTTGCCTCTTCGGGCTGAGCCCGGCCGGGTTACGTGGGCTGCCCGGCCACCAGGCGCTCGCCGAGGGACGCTACCCCCAGGCCTGGCTCCAGGGGTAGGTCCCGGTGACCCTCTCCCGGGCAGGGTACATGATGTTCTGTGTCCGTTTATGATACATGTAAATAAGTTCTGTTCTGATTGGCTACTCTGTATTGTGTCTCATTCAAAAAGCAGCCCAGAGTGAGACACTCCTTATAACTTCTGCCTGAACAGGTGGGGCTAAACTGCTGTGGGATTAGCAGGTGGATATATGTAAATATCTTGCTTTAGGTGACAGCGCAAAACAGTGAATTTAAAATTAGCCATTTTCAGCTTAGTTTCCACATATGGACTGTATGGATTGAGTGAACTGGTTGCTTGTGATCGATTCAAGTGTTTTCATTCCAGTTGCCTTGGCACTCTTTTCAATCTTAATTATTCTTTTTTTCCAACTTCTCAGCTCTAGACATTGGCAGTTGGGACTTGGCGTGTGAGTTCAATAACACAGACCACCGTACCGAGCTGAACGGCACTGACCGGCTGATTGTGCGGAGAGGTCAGCCCTTCACCATCAACCTCAATCTCCGCTCTGGATCCTATGAGCCTGGAGTACATCAGCTCCAGATCACTGCAGAGACAGGTAAACCTGCCTATCACCAAAGGCTATAAGCATTTAGACCAGTGAGGTTGCATGTGTGGTTGACTTGTCCTCTTAGTTCTATTGTAGAGAGTTGTACCATTTGTTCTGAGCAGAGACAGGAAAGATGATGTAGTTTGGATTAAATACCAGACAATAACAGAGATTAAATAGCGGCCACCGTATAAAGAAAACATTACCTTATGTGGCCTAAAGTCCAGGACTGCTCAGATAAGCATGATTCTGAAATGTTCAGCGAGAAACTTAGAGATAAAGAGAGAACAAGAATGAAAGAACGAGAGAGAGACAATAAGAGAGAGACAGAGAGAGAGAGAGAGAGAGAGAGAGAGAGAGAGTGAGTCATAATTAAATAGTATGCCCTAAAAGGGTGAAGTTATGCAGAAACTCTTAAGAGGTCCAAGAACATTTCAGCTCCTCACTTCACTCTTTCTGCATAGATTGTGAGAAAAAAAGTGCTGCATTACCACATATGAGTAAGTGCGTCATGGACAATTTAGAAAATAAATTATTTTTACAATTAATGTTTGAAATATCATTTAGGCTTTGCTACTGTAGGAACATTTCACCAGCTTCCAAGTTATACAACAAGACTGATTGTTACCATGAAGTGTTGTGGGATATAATAGGATATACTCATAGGTGTGACAGTTAAAAATGTCAGAATTAGATCTCAGCAGATTATCGTGTCCATAAATACCTGGCAGCAAGCGACAAAGTTGTTAATCTGTCACCATAAATATAGTGTGGTATGCGAAATGGCACACAATGAAGTGAGAGAGACACTTTTAAGGGGTCGTATTTAACTTGTTTTTCTTGTAGTTTATTATCATTAATAAACATTTGTGTGAGTAACATACCAAAAATATTGACAATTATTTTTTTACATGACTATTTTCCAACCTCTCTTCATGCCATAAAATTAAACAGGCTGTTTTGATACTGTACTGTTAAGACAGCAGCCCATGCTGAAACAGTCCTTATAACTTTAATGTAAATTGGATGGAACTGCTGTAAGCTGAAAAGTGAATGTAGACTGAATAGCAAATATATTTAAATGCATTGGTTTTTGTGACATCACAAAAACAATAAATTCAAAATGGTTTTTTGTCTGTATATGGAACAAATGGACTGGGGAGTGGAACATTTTGAAACAAAGTTTATATTGTACTAATTATGGTATTTGACCTCTTAAATTCTCAGGCTTATTACATACTATGGCTTATTATTCAGTAACTACAGGGACTCCTAACTGGTTGAGTTATTCTCGGGTTAATAAAAGTGGGCCTTTTAAGGCGCTTAATAGTTTTAATATATAATACACAAAAATTACATGGTATATGTCCTTAAACATGTGTGTGTGTCACAATACCAGTATTTTGATTTTGATACTGATACCAAGTGTAGTATCTTCACAAAGCTTGATAGAAAAGCAATTAAAGACACTTCTTGTTGTCTGAACAAAATGTGGATCAACAACAAAAAAATATTAAAACTTAACAGCTTATTTAACATACTTGATTTCTTAAATTCAGTCTCTTTTTATCAACACAAACTCTTCAGATGTTTAATAAATCAAACAAGTAGCTAAATATTTTGAGCATGACTTTGTTTACATGTTCTGAAGGGATTTTTAAAATACAACATGATACATATCTTACACTGATTGCATATCGTTGCTGTGGAAACAAAACCTCTATCTTATTTTTTCATTTTTTCACATAATTTGGAAACGCAAGCTGCCTTTTTTTATTGTGTCAAAATTTTGTGATGAATGGAACCACGAAAATGCTTCAAAATTACTTAGAATAAATTCTCTTTACATTAACCTACATTAAAAGTTAAGAATGTTTTTCCTTCTCCTGTAAAGTTACTATTTTGGAGATATGAAGTTTTGTTCCAGCAGCAATGATTTGTTACTGAATAAAAACTAAGGTCTCTGCCCATCCTAATCAAATTAGCTTTCCCAGTTTGATAAACTCTTAAAAGTGAAGGTTCCTAAATGGTTCTTGGCTTGGATGTACAGTTCTGAGAAAAACATTGAAATGATATAGGACCTTGGCATCGACAGGGGAGGTTCCTCAAACTCTGAAACTCTTTACACTCACACATCTCATTTACAAAAATGATTTTTAAGGGAATTGTTCATTGAAAAAAACCTGAGTTGTTCTTTACTGACATTGCTCCAAAGAACCTTTGACACCTTTATTTTTAATAGCGTAGGTAAAATACAAAGTCAGTCTGGTGTTAGTTTACTTCAGTAAATAAAGTCAGGTCACATTAATACACAAACTTTAGTCTGATAGTTACTTTAAAACCAACACTACTAACATGATGTTACCTTATGTAGCATTAAATTCTATGTTTGAGTGATTTTTAGATTGCAAGCTGTTGTTGGAGACACTCTTGGTGTGCTGTTAAAGGCTCCAAGTAGAGACATAATTGAGCATGTGGGCTGAGGGATCATAATTATTTATAGCCATAGCCAGAACAATCCAGAGGTAATTAAAGTCATATGGTACTGACCAGTGTAAAAGAGCTCATATTGCTGAGAGGTCATACGAGTCAGTCTGAGCTTGCTTCCTCTGTCACTTGATACTGCACCAAACTCATCAGTGGACAGATGTCAAAACAGCTGAACCATGTACAGTACAAATGTTATTCCAGACGCTTGATGAAGCATTTGGGCAAACATAACAAATAGGTCTCTTCAGCAGTTACAACACAGGAAATAATGTTTTTTGTCAGAAAGCATCTGGTTAGTGGAAAATAACCACACTGTCAAGGAAGCCCTTATATATACACTGTGTTGGCTTATTTGGAAGCTTGCAGAAAATGTGTTTTTCTTCAGCCATGCAGTAGAATTAAATCAAGTTAGACCTTGCTGTTAATGAGAAGTCAATACAATATCCAGTTTTCCAAAAGTGGCATTTGTGCTGTGTAAGTGGGATTGATTATTATTCCTTTATCTGCTGGTTGCTGTAGGTTTGCTGAGATCAGCCCATTAAAGATGTACTAAGAGAACTAATCTCTTGTTAGCATACATAGTAAATAAAACTTGAGATCAGCTGAAACTTACAAAGCCTTGGAATGTTTTACCAAACTCATTTTACCCCTACCAAAGGCTAAACTTGTAACAGTAATAACAGTAATAGTGCTGCCATCACACATTACGCAACACTGATACTCAATTGGTATATCTGAGAGAGCCTATCTCGTGCTACCAGGCCAAAAATAATGATTTCCTGGAACGCTTCCCACTTCCAGCATAATGGAATTCCAATGCGTGTGTCCATTAGACTTTATTCTGATGCCAGGGTCACACACAGTCTAAGATTATGAGTTCCCACACATTCTTGTCTTACTGCTTTGCTTTTTACGCTTTCTATAAGATCATTTATGTGCACTAGCACAGAACATTCCAGGGACCGGGAAATTTCTTGTGGGGTTTTTAAGATCTTCTGTCTTGGTTTTCAGCCATTCATGTTGTGGCTTCATGCTTATCCTCACAGAAAGAGAAGTGTAGAACAATGTGGTCTTGTTAAGATGGTTTAATTGACATATTGCAGAGTTCGGTTTCCTAAAAGTGACACCATGCCTGGTGAAATCAGAAAGAACTCTTAAGTATTTATTGCTGCAATTGTTCCATTTGATCAGAGCTGAAAAGAACACTGAATTGCTTTTCCAGACACATTTGATACAGATTATCGCAGTTGGCAGCTGCTTTAATAGACTGGCTATGACAGCAGATAAAATACAGATAGGTTTATTACTGATGAGGCCAATTGTGATGAAGTTGTTCAATAATTTATGTCTATATTGGAAATAGTGCAGTCAGTGTATTCAGTTCATTCTTAGTGATATCAGCCTTGTCTATTAAAATATTCACTTAAGGCCATGATTGTACTATGACCATTTAGGGCTTTCAATTTCAATTATTATAGTAATTGAATATTCTACCATTTAATTTGATAAGCACTTGAGTAATCAATACTCAAAACCATTAAAATTGCCAAACCATTAAAATTGACGTAACTGAACAATGCCAAACCATGCATACAGTGTTGAACAAAAAAAAGAAGGAAGCCTTTGAAAAGACTTCATAATACTGTATATAAAAATACTATGCAGTAAATAATGAGTGTGAGTGTGTCCATGAAACACTATTTTATTCTGAAAGTCCAATTTTTTAAAAAAAGTACAAATAGTTAATTAGTTATTGGAGAAAGTATATTTAAATCAACATTTTTAATCCAGTATTTGAGTCTAATTGAGTAATCGTGACAGCTCTAGGTGATCTGAGATCCTATATCACTAAAGGTTAATAATTTCTATAACTATTTAGCAGATAACTGCAATAGTATAGAGTATATTGGTTTCTTTGTATTTAGCTTTGTGTGCATTGATAATGTTGTATTTTAATGATCTTTATATGTTTGTTATTTTCTTAAGGACCACAGCCTGTGGAGCAGTATGGTACCAAGGCTGTCTTCGGTCTGAGTGATGCTATTGATGACACGCGTTGGAGCGCTGCAGTAACCAGTCCGCCTGGGGACATAGTCTCCTTGTCCATCTGTTCTGCTCCTGATGCCCCCATTGGACACTACAAGCTAACTCTGGACAGCTGTGCCCAGTTTAAGTTGATATTGCTCTTCAACCCCTGGTGTCCTCGTGAGTAAAAGCATATGCACACACACACACACACACACACACACACACACACACACACACACACACATACATGCACACACACACACACACATACATGCAAATCTTGAAGTCCCTGTCCTACTGTAAACACACTAAGCAAAATAAAACTGTCAAATGATTAAAATAATTAATCACAATTAACAGTATTGTGTAATATTAATGTTGTTAATATATTGTAATTAATTGCATTTGTCTTGTTTGCTCTGATTTGATCCTGAAGAAAGATTTTTTTCAATATAAAGTGCAAAAGTATGTTGTTCTAGCTAAATGAGTGGACAAAATAAGCTTAATCGGAATTGATTTATTACCATTAATAATTTAACTTGAACCTAGAATCTTGTGAATGCAGGTTACAATTTTCATCACTTACATCCAGTGAGAGCAACAATGGCTGCATGTTCCCACTCTGGGAGTGTAGGTTTTCGCTCTCATAAAGCCATATTATATCTTGTTTGTCAGGAACTGTAGTTTTCTTCTTCACTATTGCTTTTTTTAGTTTGCTGCTCATTTATTTTATCCATAGTTCTTCTCCGAGGGGTGTCCAGTGTAGTCCTTTAAAGGCATCCTCCCGTGCTAATGTTACTGATATCACTGTTTGTTCGTTCATCAATGGTGTTTTTTTACTTGTAAATGATACTTCAGACTCGACGTACTTCTCCGATAAACATATTCACAGCATAGCAATAACTGTAAATAACTTCTATTAAGAGAACCATCAACAGAACAGGGAAACAGTCCAAGGGTAAAACTAGTAGAATGTGTTAAAGTCATCAAAAAAAATAGTGGTGTTAATAATATGTTGTTACTGCAGTAGTAACACTAACACTAAACAGTATGTTGTAATTATCTTGATAAATTATTGTGCAGTGTGCTTTTCTCAGTGTATCATCAGTATGTATCATAAATACAACAGATTTAGACCAATTATAGAAACAACATAAACAATAAACAACAAAAACAATATATTGTAACTGCATAAACTGCACTGTAACAAAGAGCTGATTGAATGTGAGGCATTATGTGATTTTCATAATGTTTTTAATCATTGATATTTTGCCAATTGTTCAATTTTTCCTTGTGTTCCTTCTTAAATCGTTTATTAAATGTGCCACTGCCATCTTCTCCAACTTGTTTGCAAAACTAAATATCATGTTACATATCATGTATCATGAAATTGTCTTCAAGTATTGTGGTGTTATGTTTTTACCATATTGGCCACCCCTTGCAGCACAACCATACACTCAGTGTCTTTTGACATTTCTCTCTGATGAACTCATGCTGTATAGCATACTGTGTTCTTCCAACATATGTACATAAATACACACAGGCTACTTGAAGGGTGTGGTCATGCAGGATGTGTGGTTGTGTTTGTTTTGGTGGACAGGAGATGCGGTGTACATGGACAGTAACGAGAAACTGGACGAGTATGTTTTGGCTCAGGATGGATTAATCTACCGGGGTGATGCTAAATATCCCATTCCATCAGCTTGGGAATTTGGCCAGGTGGGTGATGTGGGTGATAAAGCACACACACACACACACACACATGCACACACACACACACACACACACACGCACACACACATACACACACACACACACACACACACACACAGTTTATGTTATCAGCTATCACCTCCTACTTCACTCCCTGCAAAAATGGATCCACACCAAAAGCAACACTCCCTTCACATCGTTAAAAAGATAAGAGGCAGAAATAAAAGAGAAAGACAATGATAAATAGACAGAAAGAACGTGGAGAAAGAGCAGAATGGTACAAGAAAGTATTATGTGAGCCAATGGTAATAAGTGAGAAATAAATCATTAACCCCTTAAATGACCAGGGCCTGCCGACTGCCCTAAACTTTTATTACACACTTCTATAACCTAAGAATAGTTCAACCAGTTTTCACTAAACCCCTGTAGTTACTAAATAACAAGCCTCAGTATGTAATAAGCCTAGGATTTTAGTGGGTTAATTATAAATGTTTTTCAGTGTGTTTCATTAATGTCTATTGATCATGCATTTTAGATTATAATATATTTTACAACAATAACTCCAAACATGGTACATAGTCGTGCATTTCTTTTTTCAACATAACGTTTGGCTTAAGTTAGGGTTAAGCATTTGTGTTTGGGTTAATTGCATGCTACATTTAGAACTGAAGTTTCAGTTTGTGCTAAGGTGGAAAATTCATGAGAATTCATGTTTGTGTCTAAAGTGTCTAATGTCTAGTCATGAAAGCTCCAGTTCAGGGTAGTCAAATGGATTGGATAGTGTTGAATTCAGCAATTTCTCTTATGTATTTGTCAGTTTGAAGAAGGCATTCTGGACGCATGTCTGCAAATTTTGGATGAGAACCCTAAATACAAGAGGAACCCTGGAAAAGACTGCTCTGGCCGCAGAAACCCTATATACGTCTGCAGAGTGCTCAGTGCTATGGTGAGAACCAGTAACTAACTAAATGATCAGGTTTGGACATAAAAAGCATATTAAAGTGTAAGATGATCCTGTTATTATTTGTGAACATTAAATATTATCAACATCTAATCCACATTCCCTCACACACATTCACAGGTGAATAGTAATGACAGAGATAATGGAGTTTTGGAAGGCTGCTGGAGAGACACATTTGATGGTGGAATCAGCCCCATGGCATGGAGGGGGAGTGTGGAGATTTTGAGAACCTGGAACTCTACTTCCTGTTTGCCTGTCCGCTATGGCCAGTGCTGGGTATTTGCAGCTGTTGCCTGCACTGGTAAGAAAAAGGTTTGGTTGTTTGGTAACACTTTATTGGAAGGCTACTTGCATAAGGATTTCATATTTAAAAAGCAATACTTGAGTATTTATGAACAGATATATTTATATATATATGTGTGTGTGTGTGTGTGTGTATATATATAAGGTCTATATATATATATATATATATATATATATATAGACCTTAATAGAAACTGTACTTTTGTACTTAAACCCAAGCAAAAATATGTAGAACTGATATTTCAGATATTTCAGCCTCTAGCTAACCTAGTACAAATGTCCATCACTTTGGTTTAAGCCTCCATATGTCAATACAATGTCATTTATTTCATAAAATCTTGTATAATCTTGCAATCAATACCACAAGTTGTTCATAAACACTCAAGTATGGCTTTATAAATAGGCAATTAAATGGTTATGCATGTGTTATGAAGTCCCTATGTCGCTAGCCTTCAAAAAAAGTGTTACTTGTCATTTTTACATCACTACATAGGTATACACCAATATGGAATTTCTGGGTTCATAAATATAACTGATAATTAGCACCTTGTTAAGGCCCAACACCAATGCAAATAGTTGTTCATTTCACTTTCCTGTTTTTTAATAACTGATTAATTTGACATAGTAATGACCCTACATGTCATCCTAAATAAAAGAGTAAAGCATTTTGGCTGTTTCTTTGTCGTCAGTGTCTCGAGCTCTGGGAATCCCCTGCAGAGTGGTGACAAACTACCTCTCAGCTCATGACACCAACGCTAACCTGGTGATTGAACGCTACGTTGATGAAAATGGCCAGCTGCAGAACATCAGCAAAGACATGATTTGGTAGGAACATGCTTATTGCATCAGAAATGTATGTCAGAAATGAGTTCTGCTGGAGAAAGCAGCAAGATGAATGGTCACAGCATTGGACACATGCTCCTGTATCAGTTACTCCCAAAACAGTGTTAATAGCCATGCCAAGATATTCAAACTCTACTTATATAACAGTAAGAGCCTCCAGTCTCAAAGGTGCAGCATAGTCCAGTTAAACAATGGCAATAATAACGCATATAAAGTGCAGGCTTACAGAGTAAAATCAGTTGAAAGGACTACACAGTAACTCTTATTACTAGTAAAAACAAATATGCATGTTTTGGCATGAGCACAAGTTTGTCCAGTTTATGTCAAATTTAACTCCACAGCAGTAATCCAAGTTAAATGCCTTGTGGGTGATGAAGGGAAAGAAGCTGATGTGATATAATTTTGGATGATTGTGATGCTGAATTTAGAAGAAAGTATAGAATTATTGGACACAAGAGGTGAGTAGAAAAGGGTCACTTGGCATTTTGCCAGTTAAAGAGCACTAACAACATTCTTAGTTACAAACATCCTTTGTGGCCCTGGAGCTGTCCTTAATCTGCAGTCAGTCAACTAATGTAGCTTCAGTTTCTCCCCACAGTGCTGGACTTGTTACCCTCCCATTTAGACAGAAGCTATTCAAGTATTTTTGAATTTGCTCTGTGTCATACGTAATAAGAGGAGTTAGCTACCAGAGTAGGAAAATTAAACTTAGTTAAGCCTTCCAGATTGGCAGGTAAAGTGTCACTAATAAAAATTCACATATTAAGTTGTTTGGACCCCTAAAATACACAATACACTGGTGTAGATATGGAGATTACATTTTGTTCAGTTGAACAGGAGCTGTGCAATAGAAAGGACAGAGACACAGTTTCTAAATGCGTTTAATAGGAGGTACATAAATGACTGGCTTGTGGTTTATGTGTGAGTATGAAAAGGTGTTCTTGTTTGTTGCTGTAGGAACTACCATTGCTGGGTGGAGAGCTGGATGACTCGTCCTGATCTGAAAGCAGGCTTTGATGGCTGGCAGGCGAGTGACCCCACACCCCAGGAGAAGAGCGAGGGTATACGCACACTCCATTTTCTCACTGTTTTTAATATTATTTTACAGTTGTTGAATAAATCTTATTACAGATATGGATACAGAATGTACACTACCATTCAAACATTTTGAATCAATGTTTTCAATAATGTAAATCCAATCAGATTCTAATATGATGATAGTACTATTTCAAATAAGATTTCTTTAAAGTATGGAATTTTAGATGTCTAGAAAAATAAACAGACCTGTAGAGGATTCAAAAATGACTAAGAAAACTGTAAATAATAATAACAATAAAAATATTAATAATAATAAGAATAACAAGGACAGGCACAAGTAGTTGATAAAGACAGTACTCATTACATAATCAGCTACTTGTATAGTAATTTAAATTTGAAAAATTGGTAACTTTGCAGTCAAATATCCTAATATGTATCTCAAATTACAATTGAATACATGTCATAGTGGTGTCGCTTGCTTTGTTTTCCTTTGGTGGGTTTCATCGGTCAATGAGGCCAAAGATTCATCTACTTGGACAGGAAGGGGCTTTTTGACTGACAATTATAGTGACTAAACACAGACTTGTTTTGTGTGATGTCAAAATAATACAACAAAACACCTTCAAACACAGTAAACAAGTGAGGATATCTTGTTTGCTTGTTACAAAATACTTATAAAATACCTTTTAAAGTTGAGATGCCATGAAGTTCACAAATGTTTTTTTTTCAATCCAATCACTGTGTTTTGCTCAGAAAAGCTTGTTGTTGTCATGATGTGCAGAGCAGGCAACTGGTTGCTCCTGGTGACTAGTTAGCATTTTAGCATTTAGCTTGATGAAAGTTAAGGTCGTTTTTCACTTATTTTTTAAGCAGCTATCTAATCTGCCGCAAAATAAAGAAAAAAAAGCAATTCTGTTTCTGTTATTACGTTGGTGCTGTGAAGAATACAATATAAATTTCTCACTCAAGTCAGAATTTTTAATTACTCTTTTTTTGTTAGAATGCTCAACCACGAACAAAATTAGTCACAGAATGCCCATCTCTACTAGACGCATTTTATGTATTTTTTTAATGTTTAAATCTACAAGTTGGCAATTAAACAAACAACAAAAAATATTAAATATGACAAGAGATTCAAGGAATTCCAAAAGGCAGCAAAATTAATTAAATCTTTTTTTTATTCTTTTATTCTTATGTACTAGGAGTGTACTGCTGTGGGCCGGTCCCTGTGCGAGCGATAAAGGAGGGAGAGCTCACGTTTAAGTATGACGCTCCATTTGTGTTTGCGGAGGTAAATGCAGATGTGGAGACATTCCTGAAGTATAAGGACGGCAGCACACGCAAGATTACCGGCACTAGCCAGGTCGGCCAGAAGATCAGTACCAAGAGTGTTGGAAATGACGAACGAGAGGACATCACGCACCTTTATAAGTACAAAGAAGGTAAGGTATATTCATGAATGACACACTGGGCACAGTGTGAGCTCTCTAATGACCACCATGACAGTTGACTCAGCTGTGCTGCTATCCCTGGCTCAGGCTCTGCTGAGGAGCGAGAGGCATTTAAAAAAGCCAACCACCAAAATAAACTGCTCAAGCAGCCGGTCAACACTGGCCTCCACGTCAATATCAAGGTCTCCATGGAGATGAGGAAGGGATGTGACTTTGATGTCTTTGCCGTGGTTAACAACACCACATCGGTGGAGAAGAAGTGTCGTCTGGTTTTTGCCTCCCGCGCCATGTCTTACGATGGATCCATTGGGCAGGAGTGCGGGTTTAAAGACTTGCTGAATGTGGAGCTGCCGCCTGGAGGAGGTATGTGGGTGTGTATGTATTTGGTGGGAATGTGTCTGTGCATGAAACTGCAAAATATGTTTACATTATGTAACTTTACAATGCAAGAAAATAAATGGCTTGCACACAAAATAAAAAAGGGTCAGACAGGCCACAAGTAAAATCCTGGAGCTTTTCTTATTGAGATCAAAATTTATTAACGTTTTAACAAATGTCATAAGTGGACTTTTGAGGCCTTCCTTTTGAGTCATTTATGTAATTGTAGTCATTTATTTTCTTTTCAGCTTAGTTTAAACCTTATGTAATCAGCACAGGTACTATCCATTATGTTATGTAACGTGTATCTATTTGTTTGCCCTGTAGAGCGGAAGGTGCCTCTGAGGTTGAACTACAGTAAATACTGCAACGCTATAACTCAGGACAATCTAATCCGCCTGGGAGCTCTGCTGATAGACTACAGCACCAGAGACGCTGTTCTGGCCATGCGCACCATCGTCCTTGAAAACCCAGAGATCAAGATCAGGGTAAAGACACACAACCATGACAAGTTATACTCACAAAACAGTTACCATACCAATGACGCTGAAGATGAATTCAAAATACTGTCACACAATTACATTATAAATTATCTAAATATCACATCATCAAGGAAACCAAACCATGTCTTTTCTTTTGAAGCTAATTTAACTTGCTGCTAAATGGTTGTTAGATCTTCAGTACTTCAGTAATTGATACTTTGTGCTTTAGATCTTGGGAGAGCCCAAAGTGAACCGTAAGCTGGCAGCAGAACTCATTGTGCAGAACTCACTGCCAGATCCTTTAGAGGCATGCTGCTTCAGCATAGAGGGAGCCAACCTTACTGCGGGCAAGACCATCACTGAAAGGTATGTTTTGTTGAGGAAAGATTAATTATGTTAATCTGTGCATGCATGAGGAGGACCTGTAGTGTCAAGTACCACATTTACAAAACCTGCAAACTTTATTATTTAATGGTTTAAAAGATACTATACGTCAAAATCCAGAGAGCTGCTCTTCCAACGTTTCTTCTAAAATCAAGAATATTAATAGTGAGCAGGCTCTTATTTTGCTGAAATAATCGCTTCTACAGACACAGATCAGAATTGTCCAGGCTATGATCTTCTCTGTGGTTTTTTATGGATGTGAACGCTGACCAGTAAACAAGTAAGACAGGAAAATATTGATGCCCTTGAAGTTTGATGTTTGTGAAGACTTTGGACTATTCTCAGAAGAACCAATCATTGGACAAGACCATTAATATTGGAACAGTTGGAGGTAAAAGAGGAAGAGGACGACCAGCTAGTCAGAGGAATCATGAACCAGCCATTCAAAAGCCTGAAGGCCAAATAGAAGACAGGGGATTCTGGAGAAACACTAACCATATGGTTTGCAGGAATTAGGAACAACTTGACAGCACTTAATAATAACAACAACAATAATCATTCTCCTCCTCTGGGAAGGCTTTGTGCTTAATGCTGGAATGCGATTTGATCCCCTTCAACCACAAGAACATTAGTGGGGTCAGGCACAGATGTTGGGAAGTTAGATCTTGCTTGGAAATAGCACTCTGGTTCTAAAGTTATTCAGTGATGCTTGATTACTCAAAAGAAAGGGATTCTACTCCTCCTCAGGCCAATTTACACCATCTGCACCATTTGCATCATGTTTTTTTTTAGAGATTACATGGCTGTGTGCAAGCAATTCGTCAGCAAAGGTTGAACCATAAATATCCCAGTCCCTTAATGAGAAGTGGTGCACGCATACATTTGGATGTATAGTGTAGATCTGTGGGTTAACTGATACAAAATCATTTGATAGATGGTACTGGGATAGGCAATACTTCAAGAGATTTTCACAATACACAATATGCTTCACAATATTTAGTCTTTCTGAGGTTTGGTGAGTGGGAACAGACAAAAAGAATCAGCAGTGCCATATTTAGTATCAAATACCATCATGATGTCTTTGTAATGAAACATGGAGCACTTAATTATCCGTAAGTATTGACAATATCCACTCTACGTTCAGAACAACATTTAGTGAGGTAATGTGACATACTTTATCATAATAACAGTAAATATTGTCATATTGCCCATCCCTACTAGGTGAGCTGGCCTAAAATATTGACTCGGCATGTAAAACTTAACAAGCAAACAAAAGCATTTATAACATGGAAGCTGCACACTGCAGAGATTTTCCCCTTAAACCCTGTCTATTTGGCAAGATTCTTATCTGAAATAACATCACTAATAAGCACTGGGCTGTCAGCATTTGTGTTTAAGTCCCAGATGTTTGATTTATTGCTGATCTGCTTTGGTGCTGGATGATTAAAAACCATTCACCAGCTGAATATATGAATGAGACAGCAGGCTGAAAAATGAGAGGCAAGAAAAATGCTTCCACTGTAACGTAGTTCACTGTGGGCTTGATAAGATAAATAGTGCATGAATACAAGCCAGAAAGACTTGCCAAAAACTTTGAAAATCAAGATTTTCCATCAATGGTAAAGAAATGGTCAGAAATTATATTTGCTGGAAAAGAGAGGAATAAAGCACTTATAGTCTCCTACATGTTGGTTGTCCGCTGATCTAATAGCGGATCAAAAACAGATGTTTAGCCACTGTGTGTGTCCTCGTAATGTTTGACTTTTAGGTTGCTATGAATGGGTTCTGTCCAGTGTCTCAGTCCATGTTGGTTGATATTACGGAACTCTGTCACACTGAACTGTCCAGAATCTGAACAGTTACACTTTTTAAATAATAGCCGTTAATGTTGTAAGCCATTCTGATTAGAGGGGTATGAGTAGTGCTTTTAGTTTGAGACTAATGTTTAAATATTTATATTTCGCAGGTTCCCAAAAAGTGTGGAGCCTGGGCAAGAAGCCAAGGTCAAAATCTACTTCACTCCCACTCGCTCCGGCCTGCGCAAACTGCTGGTGGATTTTAACAGCGACAGACTGTGCCATGTTAAAGGGTTCAGGAACGTAATCATTGGCAAATAAGGGCCTTTGACCACTCCAGTGCAGCTACACTACATACAGTACCAGGTTAATTAAGTGAAAGTGTTTGGATGTGAATAAAAATCGAAATGAAATCGTTGTGTATTGTCCAACAAAAATGTGAAAAGCCAAATTTATAATTTTTGTGCCAGTTGTCATTTCATTTTCTGTGCTTATTGCATAGCTACAGGGGCCTTTAATGATAGTTTTTGTTTAACATATCACCAATACACCATTTATGCTGGGAGCTTCATGAAAGATACGGTATGCCTATTTAGCTGGTGATGGCTATCATTATCATTGCAAAATTTTGTTACTGCATACACGGTCCATCAAAAGTTTGCAGACACTCAGCTTTTTAAAATCAATAAATGAACTGCTGTAAATCAAAAGAGGGTGTCCTTTGATGGTTTGCAGTAGCATTTTAATAAGAAAGCTGTGCAGATACTGCATGTTTTCTGTGCAAAAAAAGTATAAAATAGAGGCAACACTAACAAAAGTACTCTCAACTCTCATTACTCAAACCTTTAAGGTTAAAACTGCGCTTTCATTGTGTGCTTGATGACACACAGTGACACACAATGACAGCTTGGAAAAGAAGACAAAGGAATATTGTTTGTAATATGTAATAACTGAAAAAGTAATAGTGAGCATTAATTAGAAGTCTAAAAGTGTCTCCAAACTTTTGATGGGCAGTGTAAAGCTAAAGTGGGAACCTAGTCCCATTATTTTCTAGTCGTTTGTGTGTTAATTTACTTTTAAGGATGTTGTTTCAGCCTGTAAATATACTAGTTGAGCAGGCAGAAATAAAAGAAGATAAAAGATAAAAGCATTAAATGTTGTAAGGAGCAGACGTTTGTTGTGTACTGTGTTCCACAGACTAACAACATGATGAATACATTAAAGAGTTATAGCCTAGCTGACAGATATCACCATATGAATTATTAGCAAAGTACCTAGAATTGCAAGCTTAGCATGGTTTTGCTTGCACAGTAACATTGTGTAAGCTGGCTTTTAAAGTTTTAAAGTTTGAAAACAAGACTGCTGTGAAATTTCTCTCAAATTAGGTCACATTATGTTGCCAGTAGAGTAGAAAGTGCACATTTGCCAAATAAACATTAACAAAGGCACTATTTGCTTACTTTAGAACCAACCAGGCACAGTAAATATGAGAAACAGATTAAACTGTTGAGGGAAAGTTTAAACTAATATCTCATCCTCCAGCACTCCAGCCTGCAATGTCTCACTTAGCTACTACTGCTCAGCATGATGTTCCTGTCTGGATTTCTCACTACATTCTTTCATACAGTTTGCTTTGTTACTATTATCTATGATTCCTGCATTGTCTTTGAAACTCTCTTTGGTGCTAATTGTAAAACTGGGCATACTTGTATTAGGAGGCACAGTCAAGCCTTACTGTATAAGCAATACTATATGACAATGTTTTATATGTGTATTTTTGCCTACAGCTACTATTCTCAATTAAAGTCTTTTACAATACTGGGAAATGTCTTTGTGAACAATGATGAACACTTACTGGTACACCTACTCACCTATAGTGTATCTACACTCATTGTCTATTTTACCACTACAGTTACATATAGTAGAGATCAAAATTAGAGAATTACTCATAAAATACTTGATTTTTTCTATAATATTGTTGACTTTCAGCATTCAGAATTTGAAGGAATATTAGCTGTGGACATACCAATGTTCTACTACCATGTTATGTGAAATAACCAAGACAATTCAACAAAAACCTTCATGTTGTGGAAGATACAGTGATCAAAATTAGAGAACAGTAACCACTGCAGCAGAGACGAAGCTTACAAATGAAATCTTTGATGGTTACAGCTTTCAAAAATTAGTAGGAAGTGTACAGCCTCTTGCTTTGAATGACTTCAACACATCTGCACCCCCAAGACATCAGCTTCTCACACTGCTTTGATCTTGTTCCATTTTCTTCCAGTCTCTTCCACAGTTCTGTAACTGTAATGGCTTTCTTAGCCATAACTTTATCACCAATAACTTTCCAGAGATAATTGATCGGGTTCAGATCAGAACTGGGCTGGCCATTTCATTATTTCAGTGCTCTCAGCTTCAAGGAAGTGCTGTATCTGTTTTGCAGTGTGACAAGAGGAACTGTGTTGCATAAAAATTGCTAGCTAATTTGGAGATGTTTGCAGGGAAGGACCTGCATATTGCTGAAGGAGGTTCACATGCCATGTAGCTGTATAAGAGGCCCAACTCCTGCTGCAGGAAACATCCCCCAGACCATGACACTTCCTCCTCCAAGCATAACTGACTTCTTCACACACTTTGGGTTCAGTCTGTCCTCTGTTTGATGCCGAACATCATTATGTTTCCCATCTGATCCAACTAAATTAAACTTGCTTTCTTCACTAAAGTGAACCTTGGACCATTGTTCCCCCATCCACACAACATACTCCTCAGCAAAGGTTAGTGTAGTGTTTTGATTCTATCTGCTGGGGATAGTGTTTTGATTCTACCTGCTTCTATCTATGCTTTCAGTCTGAATTCTCTCAGACGGGGAGACACTGTATGCCGAGACAGAATCCTGCTCTGTTCAGTGCCGAATTGGTGAGCAATTCCAACTGCAGTGTGGAATGATTCCCCATTGAAAGTCTCCATATCATCCTGTTCTCTCGTGCATTTATCTTATGTAGACGACCAATGAATTACTGTCATTGTAAAGTTCAGTATTCTAGAAATCATGTTCTAGTAATGACCAGCTTTTCATGCAATGGCTGAAAGAGTCATCCCTTCAGCCTTCATCTGAACAACCTACTGTTACAGTTTTTGGTCACCTCAGAGTGGCTCGCCATCTTGCAAAATGATTACGAGTGTTGCCAGATGAATGGAGTTCATTAGACTGAATTGTTTAACCCTTCACAATTCATCAGGACCCCTGCAGGACCACCACAGAGCAGGTATTATTGCGATGGTGGATCATTCTCAGCACTGCAGTGACACTGATGTTGTAGTGATATATTAGTGGGTGTTGTTTTGGCATAAGTGTGTCACACCCAGCAGTGTTTCTGGAGTTTTAAACACTGTTTACACCTACTGTCCACTCTATTAGACACAACTAAAATGCCTTACTTCACTATAATCACTGGGAAAAAAGTCAACATGTAAGCCATAAAGTTTTCTACGTTAACCTATTCATTTTGATCTACACAGCATAAACATTATGACCCTGCAAATTCACTGCAAACATTTCTCATGGTGACTTGTTGTCCTTTGAATACTTTCAGTTTCCATTAAGGCAGGCTGTATGGCAACTGTTCCAGCAGTATGTGGATATGGACAGTATAGATGTATAAACATTTGTATGTCAGTGTTTAACAGGGTGCCAGCCAAGGAGTAGCCAGAGTAATGATGATGCATATGTTGAGACTAACCTGTAGCTAAGTTGTGTTGTATGACTTGGAGATTTGGAGACCTCTGTGGTGGAAATGTGCAATTGCACACAACAAGAGAGTAGCTAAATGTCTTCCAAAGATCTAAGTGAATCATCTACTATTGCCATCACATCTTCATCAGTAATGTTGAATTTGCATTTGAGACCTAAATATCAAGTTGGGCCTTCTTTTTGAGACTGCGTGAGTGACATTTCAACATAAAGATGTATCACATGGACTTAAAAACTCCAGAAAAGCTATTTCAGCTTTTACGGGGCAACTCACAGCATTGCACACACACCACTTTTTCGCTCCTGACTCAGTAATGCTACACGTTTTAATTTTAACAAAAGAAAACTCATATAGTGCAGCTTTAAATCAAAGGCATTAGTTGACAGCTAGTGTATGGTGTAATTAAGTACATGTCAAATGATACATTTGAGACAAAAAAACTACATGTTGATTATATTTTGTTTTTTGTTTGCAAGATGACCTGTTGAATGTGTGTGAAACAATGGAAGAATTCAATAAAAAAAAAATAAAACTTCTTTCTGGAAAGTTAGCAGGCAAAGAATAAGCAGGTAGCAGGAGAGAGAGTCAGAACAGAAAGGCAGCTGGTCAGAGTATTCAATCAAAAAAGATGCAACCATGTATTTTTGATGCAGACTATTTTATCCATTTCCATATGACTGGCAAGCAAAGAGTTTGAGCTGTGCCCCAGTACATCCAGTAGTCTAGAAATGCCTAGGTGTAAAAATGAGATAGGTGTGTATCTGATAAAGTGGCCAGTCGGTGCAAATGTGGGTGAAATGAGTTTGCAAACAATGACTACCCTTACAGGCCCCACCCTTTTACCCTTTCCTTTTGTTCAAAAAGTAAGCAGACATGAGCTGTTCTCCAGACGTCCAGAGGGTTATGCCAACAAAAGCACTCAAAAGCTTCTGACAACAGATAAGATACGCTCATAAATATGTACAGAGTCACCTGAGCTCTCAGGGCCCAATTTCAATGATTCCGTCTTTTACTAAACATGGAAGATCACATTCCTGGACACAGATTAAGTGTCCCAAAGTGAGAGTGATTTTCGCTGCAGAATTTCCTGTGCGTAACAGAGCATCAGGATGGATTTGCTTGCTTTTCAGTCAGAAGTGAGAGGAAAAGGTAAGAGGGCATTATAAGGGCATAATAAGTTCATGTCTAGTGAAAAAATACGTCATTCAAAAGCACTGTGTACTCAGTGACATCAATAAAAAAACATTCCTGTGGCTATATATTCAAACACGTCCTCACAGACACTCCTAATACATACAGTGAATCACAGAATTGCCCAGGATTGCCTCATCAGTTGAGACTCTGCAGCTTATAACCCTAATGAACAAACAGTACGAGACTAGTCTGTTCATGCTTTCATACCATTTTGACAGAGAATTCCTTTGTAGCCTTGTACACTGGGTCCAGTTGATGTGAGAAGTCTATCATTTGTTATTTAAGGGGGTTTGATTTCTCAGGTTTTATACACTACTTATCAAATTTTTAGAATCACTTGTTATATTAATAAATGTTATTCAGTAATAACTTACACTGTGTAGATTGAAATGTTTGAAACTAGAGACTAAAATGTAAACTACTGTTTTAATTTATAATTAAAAGCATTTAGGAACAATAATAATTCATGACATGAAAAGAGAAATAGCAAATGTTATTAAATAATAAATGTATATATATATATATATATATATATGTATATATATATATATATATATGTATATATGCACTATCTAATCACCTTCACCTTGCCTGCAACTGTTTTACTTGATTTTTACTGTTATTGAATTATTTTAATTATTTTAGTTATTTTATCATTATTTATTTTTTCCCATTTATATATTTGCTTATTTATTATTATTCATATTCTTATTCTTGTTTTCATTATATTATTTTATTATTATTTCAGTCATTTGAATTCATTTTAGTTTCCTGTTTTGATCTTACCCTCCTTTTGTTTATTTATGTTCTTTAAATTTTATTAACTTTCACAATTTAGTTAAGCTTTAATTATTGTTTTATATTTTCAACAGTTTTTTTATGTATTTTTATTATTAATGTTTCATTTTTATACTTACCTAAATTGAGTCATTTTTATTATTAAATTTATTACTCATTGATACTTATTTTTCTTGCCAGAAGCAGTGACCACAGAGGAATTCAGTGTGTCCTGTTTAATGATTTGTATTTCTTCCAAATAAGGGAAAGTTCCAAACTTTAAATGACTATTATACAATTAACAAACCATCCCACATAAAGTGAAAATCCACATTATCCACAACATTTTAGGCCTGAAGCCCTCCTGGGGGCAGATTAGTAAGGTTTGCTGCGTTCTTACAACCTGATACAACAACATAATGTTGTTTACCTACTGCTCTCCGAATTGTCTACAGGTGGATTTTACTTCTGCATTTGCTAAGCATTGTTTGCTGCCTTTTTCAAAGCCCTTTTCTTAGATGGAAGCCTTGATTTTTCTGAAAAAACTGCCTCTGTAGAAATACCACGTACCTGTCACGCCTGCTAACTTACTTGGAAAGGAATGTTGTGTTAACTGCAGCCCTGTCCCTTTTGGAGCAATGGGACAGGGCTGCAGTTGACACAACTGAGGTCACGCAGTCCCATTTCTCATTTTGTTCTTCAAAGGGGCACTTACAAGCACCCTCTTAGCACCCTTAGTGTGGACTCCAGTGAATGACCTCATTGACATGACCTCTGCAGAGTGAATGGGTTTGTTTACAGCTGTCAGACCAACATGGAGAACAAATAATTGAAGTGGGAGCAAAAATGCATTTGTTTATTAATTTACCTGGTCATTTAGCATAAGCACAAAAACTAAAAACAAACACAAGTAAAAAACAAACCAAAAAAAAAAAAAGCATAGGTACGGCCAATAACAGAGTTTTGCTGGGTCTTGTACAAGTATGACCTGTATGGCGCAAGAGTCTATTCCAAATGCATGCTTTTAAACCAAGTGCCCTCAAGTTCTTTTCCCCTTATATCCGCATACTGTTAACGTCACAAAAGAGTTGACCCCTAGGAGGTCTTAGGGAGCCTTTTGGGACAGGCCCTTTAGACCTCTGAAAGAGCTGAACAGAGCCAGAGGAGGAAGTAGGATGCGGCTGTTAGAATGAGAATAGTAACAGGAAAAGCTCAAATCTGACCTCTACTGGCAAACAGAAGGAAGTGAACATTTTCACAGACGTGGAAGCTCCAAGCATGAGTTGATGTAACTGTAAAGCCAGTGAATTATGTGGTGAAACATTTTAAATACAACGCAGCACCAATATGTGCAGTGATTTATCTTACTGCTGTGCAGCTTTTTTTCTAAACAAGTAATTTGTTCTCTTGCCCTGAATACTACTAGATCAGTCCTCTATATGTTTACGTCCAGGGCTGGAAAATACATAAGTATCACTTTGGAAGATTTGTACTACAAAGGCCATGTGGGTTTTTCTTTGTTTTTATTTCTTTGTTCTTTGTATACATGCCCAGTTTATCATAGTGTTTATGTGTATTTGAATATTAGAAACAAATGAAAAGGGTTAAGCCCAGGCAGACTCACTAGTTTGGGTTATGCCCCTCATTAATATAATAAATAATATAAAAAAAATCATATTGAAACTGACTTTTAACCATAAAATTAAAATATTTACTTTATATAAATATTTCTGTTTTAAATTTACACTTTTTCTCAAGTGTATTTACTTTTAACCGAGTAAGATTTTGACACAGCACCTAAAACCAGTTTCTCTGTACATTTTCCCCTATATACATGGGTGTATGTGCATAACAGTGGAATTAAGACAAAGTAAGGACTACATGTAGTCCCGCTGCACTTTAGAAGGCTAACGCCAAAATGCTACTGCACTGAAACTTGGGTGCAATGCTAAATTCATGTTTGGTCATTAAATAAATAAGGGTAAGAATATGGGTCAAGGTCTTGCTTTTGTGCCAGCAGTAAAACCTCCTAGTGCTCAAATCTGAAGTACAGAAGTGCTCCACTGAGACCCATTCAGTTTTACAGCTACCAGTATATAAAAGTCCTAGTAAATTCAAATGGCTGTCCTGGCTTTCATGGTCATTGCAAGGATTTTGTAACTTGAAATTAAAATGTGTGGTCATCAGACTCAGTACAAAATATACTGATATTTATGGCTTCAGTAAAATGGCTTTTATAGTCCAATCTTAGTTAAGTTTTTTAAGCGCTTGATATTATTACTTTAGTTTCTTTTGCTCCTGCAGTCGCCTGCTAGCATATGGGCCTACATGATGCTGAGTGCAACCAGAGTTCAGCTCCAAAGAAACACAATGAGATGTGACAAATCATTTACCATCCACAGACTGTACATTACTATTAGATAGATTAACACATAAGGTATATGTGTGCTGTAAGATACAACAATATTAATTAATCATTGTTTATAATGAAGGATACAGGATGAGAATCCAATATCATGCTAAGATCATTACCATTCATTCATCATTATTTAGTCATTCCAAGAGATCGCATTAATCAGAATAATCGGGTCAGAGATGCTGTTGTGAAGTTTTTCAGTCAAGAAATCACAAATGTTGATCTCCATATAGCTCTTACCAAAAAGGTTTTATCATCTCAGTAACCATTTCTAAAATTTTTGTTTATTTTTATTTATTCATTTTTTAATTTTTTACTTTTTTGTGCCATGTAATACAACCCTATCACACTATTCTGACAAAGGGGATTGTGACAGGGTAGAATGTTTTAGGCTAAACAGGCCACTACATTCTTTGTGATATAGATAAAGATACACCTTCTGTCAAGTTTTAAACATTGCATAATGTGACATTTCTTAGAATACTGGAAAAAGATTTAATAACAAAAAAACAAAACAAAAAAACATTTTTTCTTTTGTATGACGGGGTGGACATGTTTCCCCTGACAGATCCTGTCAAAGCTGGAGAAAACAACATAGAGGCTGAAACGATGTCATTTACTTTACATCATGCTATTTAATGTGCGGGTCCATTATTTTATGGTCAAATAAGCTGGTGTAGTGGAGGGACAGGGGGAAAAACTCAAAGACACAAATGATTTCATTTTACTTAAAAAAAAGTTTTTGAAACAAATTTGTATGTATAATGTTAATATGGAACCAGATACAGTCATATGCAAAAGTTTGTGCACCTCTGGTCAAATGACAATTTTGTTGATTTTCTAGGTGAAAATCAGTTAATAAATCCTCTACAGAGAACACACTTCTGCACATTTTAATGCAATTTTACTGTTTATTTGCTTCATTTAATGTATTCGGGAAAAATAATAAAAAAGTAAATGTGGTCTGTGCAAAAGTTATGGCACATTTTATAATTTGTGTTTTATTGTTATTATTGTTATAAAAAAGGTCAGTATTTTTTAAAAATAAGAATAGAAGAGCAAAAATAAAAATAAAAAAATAAACCTTTTGGCTGAATGTGAAAAACACATTAGGAGATTTCTGTCTTAAACACAGCACTGAATACTGTGGTCGGCCTCAAATGGCACTCTTGTAATAGAATGACTCATTAGTGTTCTGTGATGACTGCATTTTTCAGGCTTCACTGAAGGAGGCACTGCTGCACCAGATTCAGGAAAAGAAATCACATAAGCTGGTACACACCTGAACACACACATCCATCTTTCTGTTAATGGTGACGTTTTCCATTCTAATTTAAAACATTTTCAAAGACTGAATCCATTAGACAGGTCATATTGGTGAAATACTGAATATTACAAAAGAATTGAAAACAAAAACTCTTTGTAAGTTTACGTGATTAATTTAATACTTCTCCTTCCACACCAACACATTAGAAGGTATCCAGAAATTTACAGAACTTGTACTTTAAAGTTGATACAAAACATCAAAGCAGAACAGAGTAAACTCAAGAGAGACACGGCGTAGAATATAGATACATATTTTTTCCCTACAATATGAAAGCAGAAAACAACAAAACGCTGCTGAGCTGCAGTTCTTCTTGGTGAACGTTTATGCAAAAGCTGATTTTGGAAATTGAAATTTGGTTGTATTTCAGAGCATAAAGAGTCATTTTCCAAAAATGTACTGTACAGAGTACACACACACATGCGCTCATACACACACACACACACACACACACACACACAATTAGAGCATTCAGAGATTTCAGATGAAGCAGAGAGATAAAGCAAAAAGATGCCCTCTAGCCAAATCGCCAAATCCAGGCTTTTGACAAATCACCTAGGCCAACATAACAAAGTTAGGCATGTTTGAAAGATACGCACTGAGGAGCAAAAGCATGGCAGGGTCAATAAATGGAGATATCGCATAGTAACAACTAGTACACATTGCTCAAGTCTGTCTGTTTCTCCTCGAGATTTACGGACATTCTTATGAAGATGTTTTCACATGCACTCCTTTCACTTCCTGTCTACAGCCTTTACTTTACCCCATTCTTTTCTTTCTGACTTCTCTCCTCATTCACAAAAAGTCCCTTCCTCCTTGGTTCGTTTCCTCTCTGCTGCTCTAAAGGACACAGGCATCAGATAAACAGTCATTGGAATGTCCCTTGTGGGCTTTGACTTCTGACTGGTGGCTTTTTGCTTGACTCTTCTTGCTTGCTTGTGTATGTTCATTCCCCTCAAGGTGGTCCACCTCTTGGACTTGTTGGTGGTTCCCCTCATGGAGATGTTGATGGTCCTTCCGGTGATGTTCACCATGATGTAGAGCAGAAGATGAATCTTTCTTCTCTCCTTCATTAGCTTGATCACCATGATGACTCCTGTGATGCTCCTTCTCATGAAGCTTCCGGTCTCCATGATGGAGATCTTGGTCTGCCTTATTCTGCTCATCTCTTTCTCTTTCCTTCTGTACATGATGGCTTCCATGATGGGGATTTTGGTCCCCACTGTGGATTTGGTTGCCACTACGCAGCTCTTGGTTCTCCTTGTGGAGCTGCACACCAGGGCCTGGTGGCTGTACTTGCAGGTAGGCTCGGACTCTGTGGTGCTGGGCATGGTTGTCACTGAAGTCGATGACTCTACACTCATAAGTGCCTTCATCTGCAGGTTTAACACTGGACAGGCGAAGCCTGTGAGAGATGTTGCTTCCAGCCACTTTCACCACCTTTAGATAATAAAGAAAAAAAAAACAAGAGTTTTTAAAACCATATTATTTTTCTGATTTATCTCCTACTTTAGTCAGAGCTAACTGATCTATCTATACTGTATCCACAACTGCATTCCTTCTTAGCCACTGTTGCAAGGTTGGATAAGCATTACAAGATTTTGGAGGTCAGGTGCAACACTCCAATGGACTACCAGAGGGTGACATAGGGTAACTACCTAGGCCTAATTAGAGCCAGTCACCAACACCTGTGCCCACATTTATGTAAGTGAGGCCTTGACTTGTCTCAATAGCTCAGTCTTTGCAGTCCTTGTGACTGCTTTGAGGGCCAAGCCAGAAATCTTTGATTTTTTTTTCTAAAATAATCTGTGTTGTATTTATCTTTCAAAGCAAGTCTGCTAGGCAGTTGAATCTAATGACCCAGGTCAGCCTTTATAGCCCAGTGTTTATCAGATAACTGAGAACTGTCGACATGACAGATGACAACCTGCTATTGTACACAACCTCAAAACAGTGATGTGACATTGAGAACTCACACTTATTTTAGTGGCGTCTCTTGTCATCTCCTCAACAGGAACAACCTATACAGAGAAAGAAGGGATAGGAGGAGAATGAAGGATGTGCTGTATGTTAGAGCATCAATGTTAATTACATTGTGATGACTGGCTGCTGTTTGTATGTTCCAGGGGAATCAGCCAGCAGACTGTGATACTGTATTGCATGCATTAATCAGTACTTACAAACTGGAACTCCTGCCAGGTTATTATTCTCTGGCAGGAAAAGTAGAGGTTTCATTTTGTACTAATCTGTCTGTGCAATTGTGGTCCTGTATACAGTGCTGTGAAAAAGTATTTGCCCCATCCTGATTTCTTCTATTTTTGTTTTTGCATTTCAATGTTTCTGATCACCCAAAAGTCATTGCTCCCAAACCTATTAATTGGTTGAGCTACCCATGGCAGTAACAACTGCAATTACGATAACTTGCAAGTCTTTTACATCGCTGTGGGGGAATTTTGGCCCACTCTTCTTTGCAGAATTGTTTTCAAACATGAACTGCCTGTTTAAGATCCTGCCACAGCATCTTAATGGGATTCAAGTCAGGACTTTGACTTTACCACTCCAAAACCTTCATTTTATTTTTTTTGAGCCATTCAGAGCTGGACTTGCCTGTGTGCTTCAGATCATTGTCCTGCTGCATAACCCAACTGTACTTGAGCTTTAGGTCAAGAACTGACGGGTGGACATTCTCTTTCAGGATTTTCTGACAGAGAGCAGAATTCATGGTTCCATCAATTATGACAAGTCGTCCAGGTGCTGCAGAAGCAAAGCAGCCCCAGACCATCACACTACCACCACCATGTTTGACTGTCGATATGATGTTCTTATGGTGGAATGCAATGTTAGCTTTACACCAGATGTAACAGGACCCATGTTTTCCAAAAAGCTCCACATTTGACACATCAGTTCACAGAATATTATCTCAAAAGTCTTGGGGGTCATCTAGATGTTTTTTGGCAAATGCAAGATGAGACTTTGTGCTCTTTTTGTGTTCTTGTTTTCCCTCTGTCAGCAGTGGTTTGTGCTGTGCATCTCTCCCATGGACAGCATTTTGCCCAGTGTCTTTCTTATTGAGGAATCATGTATACAGACCTTAACTGAGGCAAGTGAGGCCTGCAGTTCTTTAGATGTTCATCTGGGTTGTTTTGTGACCTCCTGGATGAGGCATCAATGGTGAAATTTTGGTAGGCTGGCCACTCCTGGGAAGGCTCTTCCAAGTTTTCTCCATTTGTGGATAATGGCTCTCACTGTGGTTCGCTGGAGTCCCAGAGCCTTAGCAATTGCTCTGTATCTCTTTCCAGACTGGTGGATTTCAGTGACTTTGTTTCACATCTGTATTTTAATCTCTTTACAACATGGCATCATGTGCTGCATTTTGAAGCCTTCTAGCCTGCTTCACATTGCCAGACAAGATCTATTTAAGTGATGTTTAGATTTAACAGTCTGACAGTAATCATGTCTGGGTGTGGCTTATGAAATTAAACCCAATAATCAATCAAATTTGGTTAACTGATTGAATTAGAAGCTAAGGGGGTGATTACTTTTTCACATCGTGCCAGGTAGGGCTGAACAGCATTTTTCCTTCAATAAATGAAATCATCATTTAAAAACAGAATTTTGTGTTTACTTGTCTCATGTTAAAAGTTGTTTTGATGAGCTGAAACATTAAAGTGTGACAAATATGCAAAAATAGAAGAATTTGGGAAGGAGGCAAATACTTTTTCACAGCACTATACTTCCTTAATACAGAGTAAGACAGCAATCATGTGTTTTATACTGTTTTGTACAGTATGTCATACAGCATATAAGAAATATCTTCTGTCTGTGGTGAATTGTAACTATGGAATATAGAGAACAAAAATATTTTTTGTAAATTCAGTAAAACTGTTCAAATATCAAATATAAAGAGTTTTCTTTTTCCATAATCAGTTACATCAAATGACAGTTCCTGTTAAGCTCAATTTGTTTTAACCCTGTAAGCTGTAAGGACCTTTTAGTGATCCACACTTCAGTTCCTCACTCCCATAACTACAAAGTGGTTTCATAGTAGTCACTGAATAATTCATAGTTGTTATGGGATAATACATCTTAATAAGTGATAATTGACTGATAAGCCTGGAGACAATAAAAGCTATGCCTATTTTCAGAACGGAGCCACACCTGATTGGTTGTCCAGGCAGGTTTCTCAGCCCATTCCCTGTGGTGCCGAAGATACCACCACTGGATCTCCAAGGAGACGGAGGAAGAGCCGGCTCCCCTGAAGGAGCAAGCCATCTCCACATCCTGACCGCTCTGAGTGATGATGTCATGAGGAACCTCTGTGAATAGGGCTGAGACAGAAAGACAAAAAGAGATAAACGTTAACACATGATCATTTAAACCTGATTGAAAAGCTAACTAACCCATTTTCTCACTGTAAGTCTGTGCAGACTTTGGTACTGGCATTATAGTGTGTTCCATACGGAGCTGATGAAATAACTAAAGTTTGGAAAGACTAAATCTGAAAATTGTCCTTCATCCTATCTAACTTTCTAACTTTAACCTTCTAGCATTAGCAGAAGGTATTCAGAACGGAAACCCAAGCTCTCCCCCTTTCCTACAGACACACAATCTCTCCTCATACTAACATATGTTGAAGATGTGGTCTGAACTCCCAACAATAAATATTGTATTGAAACCAAAGAAAGAGGAACCATCAATCCCTCTGCTCACAAGTAAACACTTTTGTTTACTTCAGAGGCTAAGTGGAGATAACAATGGTGATTTCATTATGTGAACACAAGAGATAATGGACTACACTGTGTGTACTGTTAGCAGTCTCTGTACTGTCATCGTCTCTGTAGAGAGAGAGATATTCCTGCTATGATCCCTGTTGTACATACAGAACCATACAGCTAAAGCCCACGCAAAGCTGCCAACAGTAATTACAGTTCAGCAGTCTCCACTCTTCATCTCCCACACCTACTGACACCTCTACACTGTCAGATAAGATACAGTATTCGACTTAAGCTTATTTATGCAGAATCTTTAAGACCACCTTCTTTTGTCCAATATTTTGCAACAGTAATTTGAAGTGTCTGTTATTGGGTAAAAGAAAGAGAAACGTGAAGCAGAATTTCTGCAGGCCCCCTGGTGGCGGAAGGGAAATGGACTGTAATATTTAAATTAATATGATCAAATAAAATATTTTCCCTATAACTCTTCAGATAACTGCTGTCAGATTAACTAGAACACTGGTGACTCTCTATGTGTGAAATGTTGTGATTCTGTTCTGCAGTGAGGGCTGAAAGGAGGGGGATGAGAACCCCTGGCTGTGACAACAGTTCACACCTCTCCAAAAAGACAGCCGTGCTGAGATAAAACAGACATCACAGCTTCAGCTTTCTCAAGAAAAAAAAACACACACAAACACAACATAAACATTTTTGTAAATGCTGACTTGCTTGTTCACCTGCAAAGATGAAAATCCAGACTTTGGGATACTGGGATAAAATGAACTCTCCACGCTCCTCCCACAAACGCATTTTTTATATCAACTGTTGCTTTGCTAATCTCATTCATCCTAGAAGATTTAGGTTGACTAAATAACACTTAACTTGAGCTATTGTCTCTGACTTTACATCTACAAGGTGGACTGACAAAGTTGGAGTGTCTAATAGAGTGGACAGTGAGTGGACACTAAGGTGTTTAAAAACTCCAGCAGCACTGCTGTGTCTGATCCACTCGTACCAGTGCAACACACACTAACACACAACCACCACCACGTCAGTGTTACTGAAGTGCTGAGAATGATCCACCACCTAAATAATACCTGCTCTGTGAGGGTCCATGGGGGACCTGACCACTAAAGAACAGGGTAAAAGGGGGTTAACAAAGTGTGCAGAGAAACAGATGGACTACAGTCTGTAGTTGTAGAACTACAAAGTGCACCTATATAGTACGTGGAACTGGTAAAATGGACAATGAGCGTAGAAACAAGAAGGTGGTCATAATGTTATGTCTGATCAGTGTAATAACTTTAAATTTCTGTACACTGAAAAAAGTGGTTTAATTTACATGATTCAAATGTGTACATCAGTTCCACATTAAAAAGCTTCCGTATATATAAAATCTTCAGTATATTGTGACCAGTGGTGTGGCATGATTTTGCCATCAGGTTGGCCGTTGCCATTAACACCATGGCCCAGTCTCATACCAGACTCTGTTGCCCTGTCCTATTTACGTTGTGGCACTTTCATAACTGTTATTTATACAAGTTCCTCCATTTTAACCCACTCGAGTGATACTAGCTCTCTCTTCCGGAGAACCTACATCTTGCTAAAGTGGGTGTGGCTTACAAGACACAAACAAAAACCCATGAGAAAAAGCTGAACAGGACATTTTATTGTCATCAAGCACATCAACCTTTAGATAAACAGCACAAGGCCAACTGAACCCTATTTACAACCAGACACAATCAGCACACAACATTTAACAAATGACACTAAATACTGAAATGTTCAAAAATAAGATAATGACAGTGTCACTAAGCACACTGTTTAAAAAATCTTGGCAACAAGTGTGTTTTTGCTTGTAAAGCCAGATATCATTAGAATAGATGTAAATAACCATAAACCAAGTGTTGGATGATAATGATAAAGTGTTGGATGATAATCACTATTAATTCTGAGCACTACGTGCTGTATTAATGTAATTTGTACTTATTCTAATGTTAGTGTTTTTCTGCCCAATTAAATTACTTTTTAATTGTAATGTTTCCAGATGCCTAAAACCTCTGCAGAGTACTGTATACAGATCTTTAGCCACAGAGCTGAAAGATAACAACAACCAGAATCATCAAAATACATAAAGCAATAATAAACTTACCAGACTGGCAACTACAGCATTCAGTTATAAAACCCAGTGGGGAAAATAAAAAAAACAAACAAAAAAAAAAAACTTGCCTTTGTCCAGTTGGAACATCAATTATATCCAACATTTAATTTTTTAACTGCAGTTCTCTCAAATGGTTTTAGCTGTATTAGCAGGCTGTGTTACATTATATATTGTTTGTGTTAGTTGGCACAGACAGAGACCACAGTGACAGCCTGTAGCTGCACCCCAGTGCCCATACTGGACAAAATGCCCCTAATTTTGACAAAAACTAATTTATGCGCTTAAATTTTGCATTAGGTTGAATGATGTTTTTGCCAATCCTCTGACAGGCTTGTCACAACACCTGCTACATGAAACTGTATTTGTGGGTGGGGCATGCATGGATGTGTCAGCTGTACGTGTTAATGCAAGATCACACAGCTCCTGTCCTTTATCCTGAGTCTAATCAGCACTGTGATATAGTATGAAACCCACTTTCAACATGCTCTTCCCCATGACTCGAGGCGAGGCTCAAGGTCATGGCTTACTGCGTACTGTCCACGCCTCGTTGAGTACTCATTCATATGATCTCTTATTTATGAGATTGATATGCTCGGCGACTCTCTGCTTCTCTCACTATTGATTTTATATGAGTCTGTAGTAACAGCAGAAGCCGTGACATTCAGACAGAAATGCCTCCTGACTACAAACACTCTCCTTCTACTGCACGAGGACGATAGGTCGAAGGCTCTGCTAGCATTTTGTTTTCAGACACTGGTACAGGAGCAAAACCCACACAGATTGCTACACCTGTTCTATGTGATAATCCAAGTCCAGTGATGTCACATCTGAGGCACAAGAGATTTTACTACATTCTATCTTTTAAATTCAGTTCAAACGCTACACAGACTGGGATGTGTTCCCATTGTGATGCCCTGAAACACTGAGTGGAAAATTGATACCAAAGTGTATCTACACATCAGTGCCTTTGTGTTGGAGGAGGTTCTTTGTCTAATTACAAATGCCTCGAGCCCTGAGCCATCATTATCTCCATAGCGATTACGACAGAACACTGGCAAAATTAATGAGATTTTTTGTGCAGGTTTAGAAAAGCAACACTTGGAAATTGAGCTCTATAACAAACAAATGGATTGTAAACAACATTAGAGATAATTAAACACACACGTTTGACGACAAACAACATAATGAGTTACTGGTGTGTGTGTGTGTGTGTGTGTGTGTGTATGCATCAATAAAAGAAAAACTCATAACCACTGCAGAGTAATGACAACAAGCTGTGCGTAATTCCACCACTTCAGAGTATGTGGTATATGTGTGTATATCAGTGGTGAACCCTTAGGGCCTTCTATGCCTTCAGAGAAGACCTAATGATTTCTGCAAAATAAAAAAATATGTCTGTCAATTTATTGTAAAGTATAAGTTTAGTTCATTTTTTATTTAATATATTCATTATTCTTTTTGTATTTAAATTCTGCAAATATTGTATCAACAGTCTTATTTCATTGCTACGTGTTGGTTTGAAACAAAAAGTTAAATTCTTGAAAATTATAAAAAATTTAATTCAATCAGGAGGAAAAATAAAATAACCCTACTTTGCTGTAAAATTAAGCTCTGATGATCGTTCCAACACAGTTTTAACAATAAATAATCTTAAACTATAAAGTTATGTATAACTGCTAATTCACCCTTTAACACTGAAGACTAGAGCGCAGACTGCTGGTCACCGTAGCAACACAGGCAACAGTCTCGCCTAGCTGGTAGCTAACGGAAAGGCACAGGGAGAGATTTAAGACGAACATCGATAATTAGAAGACAAATAGGCTTATTTGCATTTAATAGCACTCAGCTAGTTTCCTGATATGTTTAATCTGCAGTGAAAGTGTCAAACACTAAAAGGTTGCGAAGCTGAAGTCAGTTTCTTATTCAGCAGCTTCTTGTTCAAATTCTCCCATTCCACCTCAAATGTTACAGTGCAGCAGTTACATTCTCACTTCAGCCTCGTAAAAAAAAACCAAAAAAAACATTGAGAGACATTTTACAAGAAACCAATCCACTTTTGAGGAAGAGTTTTCTGCCAGAGATGTGAGATAAGCAGCTATAGCTGAGCTAAAGCTTAAAGCAGAGCAAAGTAAGTCTGCATTTTCATTTATATTATAATTTTTAGCCTATATGTTGTGGCTCCCAAGGTGGTTTGATATTTGTTGAAAGGACAAAATGGCTCTTCTTAACATTTGGTTTGCCGACCCCTGGGCTAGGCAGACACAGCCAAGCAATCAGGACTCTTTACTGAAGGAGTGACTGTGAAACTGCTACAAGGCAAAATAAAAGTTATGTCTTTCACAAGCTTCAAATAAAATATGGATTGTCATTTACAAGCGTCAAAAGTCTGTGTAAAAGCGATTCGTGTAAACCACCATTAGCTCAAAAACAGTGGGTTTTGTAGATAATTGCTCTA